TCACGTACACACACACATATATACTGACACCTTCTCCAGCTCAGAAGAAAGGCTCAAACGTATAACCACCCTCCGCACCGCCTACTCCATCTGGTCCGCCCGCAGCACCACCTCCGCCGACGCGCTCCACGCCTCCAGAGTCCTCCACGCCATCCTCACCCGCATCGACTCCCCCTCCACCACCACCACCTCCACAAACTCCGGGCCCATGATGAGCACGCCTAGCAGCTCTCTTCTGCAGAGCTATGATAGCGTTCCTACAATGTCAGACGACTCAATGCAACAAATCATGCCTGTTGGCGGTACCGACGCGGACGACACGCTGTTTGGGAACCATATGAGCGTTACTATGCCTAGTTTCGAGGAGATGTTTTCCAATATTGACACTTTCGATTGGGTAAGTCAGCCTTCTTCCTCCCCCCCTTTTTAACTCTCTTTTTGTTTGGCTTCCCCTTGTTACGTTATGTATTGACGGCCAGTTTTAGAGCTCTCTCGACCAATACATCCAATCATCCGATTCCAGACAATGGAAACAATTATTTTCCGATACGAGCTTATAGACCTTCTTTCCCTTTTCACCCTGTCTCATCTCATCATTCAATTCAGGATCATGTCAAAGAAGAGAACCAAGAAACAGTACTTTGTAAGTGAAAGAGGGGACACGACGCTGAGAACTGCACATCTACGTCTATTTGGATGACCACTGACCAATTGATAGTCTCGATACCCATGTCTTGACATGGTGAAGATGAACGCAGACGCGCAGCTCAACACGTATCACGGATGTTCTCTACGATGAATGTTCACGTAAATAAATACAGCTTTTGGCTAGCAAAGAGGAAACAAGCTTTGCAATTCATGGCATTTGATAACCGGGTTTGTATATCTGATTGGTCTCATTCTAATCCAGACGCTGTGCTCGATAAACAAAAGAAAACAATAAACACAAATCGTCATAAGGCAAACTTCACACAAAAACAACTAGCAAAAAGTAAAAAGGAAAGGAAAGGAAAAGAGTCTCACAGCCTGTCCAAACAGGACCACCAGTCACATTATTCATGCTCCAAGTACAAACTATTCGTGCTTCTCGTAGCTCGAGGAGGAAACTCACAAAACAACCACACAAAAAAGAAAAAGGCCATCGCTAAACAAAATTCCGACACACCTCTTTCCATCGCATCCCTCAGCCAAGGGGCCCGTCTGTTTAATCCGCCAGAGCCAAGCCCAGCCTAGCTGTCCCGTCCCAAATGAGTTTGCCTCTCCCAAATTCCCATTTCCGCCCACGTGTCCGCGAGGTACCACGTTCGTTTCATTAAACGTCAACGCCGACTCAAACTTTTTGCGTTCTTATTCCTGTAAAAATGACAAGAGAAACAAAACAAGGAGTATAGCAATAAGAAAAAAACAATAAGAGCTAAAAAGGAAAAATAAAACATGTCGTAGGAAATTGCGTATTTTTACACACAAGTTTTCATTACGCGCGCACGCTTGGGTATCACAACGTTAGATGCAAAAGCATGCGCCTCAAGGAAAGCAGAAAACTGAGATTAAGAGGCAATGCCGCGAAGTACGCGTGCAGGATTCCCAGCCACGATAGTGAAGGGAGGTACATCCTGTAGAACAGTATTCCGTTAGCACTGACATTGTCTGTTACCACACCCGGGGGAGAGGCGGAGCCGCATAGACATACCTTGGTAACAATAGATCCAGCTCCTACGGTGCTTCCCTTGCCAATGGTCCGGCCAGGCAAGATGATGGCACCGCCACCAATCCAGCAATCTTGCTCTATGACAATAGGTCTGCCAAACTGCGGGCCCTGTCCTCCTTGACGTTTCTTAGGGTCAATGGGAAGGGAGGCAGTGAAGACGCTAACGTTGGGACCGAGGACACAGTTGTCCCCGATCTTGACCTCGCAGACATCGTTGATGGTACAATTTCGCCCAATGACGACGTCGTTGCCGATAGAAATATTATAGCCATAATCGCACACAAAGGGGGTTTCAACAGCAACATGGCGACCGACCCGTCCAACATTTGTAACCGGAGATGCCTCAGTGGGAGACACGCGGACAGGATCTCGAGGCTGTAGAATCTCGAGGAAGAGGCGGGCTCGTTCCTCAGGAGACACACCATTTGTCGGGGGTGTCGTGAGGTTGTTGAATCTCCAGCAGGCAGCAGCACATCGCTCTCGTTCAAGGCAGAGCTCCTTATCAAACGGGTAAAAGTGCCTTCCCGAAAGCATCTCCTCCTTTTGGGTTCGTCGAAGAGGGAATTGTGAGTGTGAGAGTGCTAGCTGTGCAGCCATCTGTGCATTTGAGGTTGCAGGTGGCTGAGGTCGGGGCGTCGGGCTGTTTGTCCTCGTGGGATGCAGGATGTTGATCTGCGGCAGCTGGTTGCTTGGGTGGGCGCTTGGATGGGGCGTTTCAGGCTCGGTCCGGCTCAGGTCGTGCAGCGGAGGCACCCGCTGATACTCCTTTGCCATCCTCTCCCCAAACGGCGGTGCTTGGGTGTTTGCACTTACGGGCGTGGGGAAGACGTTGGCAGGAGTGTAGGGCAGGGCAGAAAGCTTGTTGTCGGGGCTCGTCACGGACGCACTTGGTATGGTCGATGCCGTTGGACGGTCGTCGTCCGAGATGATCACTGGCCGGCTCTGTGGGGGATCTATCCGGAGAGGCTGGCCGCGGTAATGGGACACGGACTCTCGTTTCACAGGTTGGGGTCCGTAGGGGGCGGGCACTGGTCCCGGTCCCGGCACCGAGGCTGGCTGCGGAGGCGGCTGCGATTGGGGTTGTGGGTGAGGCTGCGGGTGAGGCTGCGGCATGCCATACGCACCAGGGGGCACGTAGCTGGGATCTTTGGATTCGAGTGGAACTGCCGAGGCCTTGCTGTCTGGCTTTTGCCAGCCTGGCCCCCTCTGTGGAGGATAACCAGCACATACGAAGGCACCACGAATGCAGTTACTGCCTGTTGGCGTTGTAAGAATAAGGCTCGCAGAAAGCACGAGGGGGGTTAAAAAGCGTCTCTATGGCAGGAACTTACACTCAGGCTTCTGTTCGTCACACTTCTTCTTTCTCTTCCGGCAGGTTAGGCAGCCAGTTTTTGTGCGGTTGCTAAAGTTCCGCTTTCGCTTCTTCGGATCATGCTGGAGCATCGAGTCTCCTCTGTGGTCAGTATACGAACCACCGTAAAGAGAGATTGATCGATCATCGCCATCAGGGCTTGTGCCGGCGTAGTCGCTGTGATCCATCTGGCCGGTAGCTCGCCTCAAGGCTTCTCCGATTTGCTCCTCCGAGTTGCTCTGTGTCGAAATTGCCGAGTTCTGCTGCGTCTCATAGGGATTTCTCTCATCCCGAGATTGATGTGAGTACCACAATTCCTTGTCGCGGTCCCTCTGCTCATCACCATAGGGTCGATAATCTCTCTGTGGGGTGCCATAGTGATCGCGAGCCTCGTGCGATGGAACCGTTGCGGTTTCTGGGGTTCGCTCTTGTGCTGGACCATCTCTCCGGATATCGACGGATCCAGAACGCTTACGCTTATGTGATCCTTCGATTTCTGGCGGATAGGCTGCGACGTGTATAGTTCTCTCCACACTTTGAGGAGTCCAAGACTCTCTTTGAGACGTTGTTGATGGTTCAGGGGCTGCCGATACCGATGCAGTTGCTGCTGAACCGGCGAGACGTTCTTCTGGGACAGAGCTCTTCTCTCCCGGCGCCGCCGGAGACTCTGTCAGCTTTGATGAAGCGCCATTGAGGGCAGTGAAGGTAGACATGTTGGGTGAAAGTGTCAGTAGCAGTATAGCCGTCGACGCTCACACAACGCACTAGACACAAAAGAAAAGCTGAAGGGTAAAATTTCGACCAATGCAAAGTTGAGAACCCGTGTTTTCAACAAGTATCGGCAGCGGTTTCTTTTGGCTCCGAGCACAGTGTGCTTGTCCAATATTAGTAGTGGTGAGGAAAGTTGTTAACTTTTCGCTTCAACAAAGTGAGTTTCAAAGAAAGAACGCCTTTAGAGTATTAAGTCTTCGGAATCACGATTGCCGTGCTACTAGGAGTCCCGAGCAGTGAGCTCTACCAAAGGTGAGACTGGGGCGAGTAGATCCAGTAGATCCAAGCAGGCAGCGCTATGCAGCGAAATTCACAATCCCACCAAGCGAAACAAAAAAAGATTAAGGCGCGGCAGAGAATCTCAAACCTGCAGAAATTCTCGCCGGAAAAAAAACCAAGGCTTCGTTGCTGTCGCCGCGGTAAAGTGAGTGCGGAGCTGACTGTGGCCAACGCAGGTGAGCGCGAGCACGCGCAAACGAGTGAGTGAGCGAGCGAATCAGGGCCGGCTGCAGTTCAATGCGGCTTGACGACGGACAGCTTCTTGCCCTTTGGATGCCCTTTTGGATCCTCGTCAAAAATTCGATGGTGCAGGGCGACGGCCGAGTTGCGCAAGCCGTTTGACGGGCCCGAGTCCAAAGAGTTTTGCTGCGTGCAGTTGTCGAGGAGCCGGAGTGGGAGGTGAGAGAAGGGTGTCGAGGCGGAAGTGCTGGGGGCCTGGCCGAAGTTTCTAAGTCGCGCTTGGGGGGCTTAGGTAGCTTTTTTTTTTTTTACACGCGCGATTATGCTGCGCCTGCTAGTCAAGGGGGGGTGGCCAGTTCAGTTCAGCGGACCTGGAGGCGTGTACCCGTACTGTACTCCGAAAATGGGGAACTTGGCAACTATTTGGCCGTGCAATTCTTGTACCGTGTCGTATATCAACGATGAAGAGTTCGGCGAAGGATATCGTCTGCTTGTAAGAATCTATCGCCAGCGACAGATGACAGCAAGTTGTTGGGGTTCAAGCAGCGCAGAGTAGCGGCCAATGCGTAAGGAATACGGAATAGCCAACCACAGGTAATGCACCGCAAGCACCAAATGTCCTCCAAGGGGAAGCGTAAGAGAGGATGGGGAAAGGGATGGGAGAGGAGAGGAGAGGAGAGTAAAGGAAAGGCTTGCGGATCAATTCCAGGGACACAGAGGCAACGTGGGCTGAGAGGGGGAACATATGGAGATATGGTTGTTGAACTGGTCCTCTGAGGCCAGGCGAGAAACACACAGGATCCACGTCCGCAAAAGAGACCCGGAAATGTACCGAAATGCACCTAGGGAAAGCGGCTCTTTTGACGCATGTACGAAGTACTGTTCGTACAGGTACAAAAAGTGACAGAAACGTCCTTATTGCCAACATGGGCAAAGCCAGGCACCGTACAAGTGCATGCATCCAAGGCACGGGGTTGGTCGCGGACGGGGCATCAAAAGGACGCACATGATGGGGCCTCGCCGTGGATTACTGCCATGGCCTGGGGAACGGCCAGATGGGATGGGCATGGCATGCCACCAGTCGTCGAGCAGTCTGTACGAGAACCAAGCAGCGTTTTGCGGTCGATCGCTCAACCCAACCCAGCCATTGCCTCCAGGCCCCAGGGCCACCCCCCTCCCGCGTTCGACGGACAGGCACCGTATGTACGAGCACACAAAGGCACAGTCCGGCGAATGGAGAAAGCGTCACAGCCAATACTTGGCCCATGGCCAGCGTGGGAGCTAATAGGCGGCGCTTCTCGCTGGACCCCAACCGAGTGCGCCAACGCCTCTCCCAGAGCGACAATCGCCCGTTGCATGTAGCAGCGCTGCTAGTCCAAACCCAGCAACCTTGAACCTAGCTCCCTGGTACCTGGCTGCCATAGCATGTGGCAATTCGCCAGAGCGCCAGGGCCTCAGCCCAAAGCCACATCACTGCTAAGCTGCTAAATTGCGTGGTACAGGTGCGCCTGTGCTTGGAACAGTGCAGAAGTGTGTGCGTGCATGCGCGCGAAGGCGCAAGGGTGAGTGGATGCCGCATGAGCCCTCCGAACTCCATGGTAGGAGGGTGTGGTGCGATGGCCAGTCCCAGTGTAAGACAAAGCCAGCGAGACGGATATGCAATCCCAGAGGCGGCAGTTTTCGGTTACGCTCACGGAGGTCCAACAAGGGAGCGGTGTTCCGCGATGGAGGGGGGCGTGCTCCAGATTGTCTCTTGGAAACCATGATATGATGGCATTCGCACACACAGACGAACACAAATCACCCAGAGACCTTGGTCTTGGCCGCCGTCTGAGTGCTCGTATGGATAGCGCTCGCCCGTGGCTCAGCTTGCCCCATCAACAGCGTCATCACGGAGCAGAGGCGTCTTGGGCTTGGGCGCAACATCGAGTCTGAACCTGCTCGCACCAAAGAAAGCTGGCAGCGGGTAGCAAGGGGGTCTAGCCGTGACATGTCCGGTGGTTTGGCCTGGCCTGGCCTCTCTCCCCCACTCTGTGCTAAGCTTTGCAGAGCCCGGCCCAGCAAGTCCTGACGAGATTTGAGCGCGAGTGTCGTTTCGCAACGAGCACGATTCGCCCCGGGGTGGAGATGGGTGTGACCGCAGTAAGCGGTGTTGCCGCGGCTCCGCTCTCTCGGTTACCACAGACTACCTGCTACTGGTGCGCAGAGGAGTGAGCGCAGCGCGCGGAACCTGGACGGCGCAAGTCTCTTCCAATGTTGAGTGTCCGTCTTCCAAGCCGCCTGGCCCGTCTTCTAGCGTTCTTTTCGTTCGAATCGAGTGCGCCGGGGAAGCGATTGGGATGATGCCGCCGCTGTTTGTTCCTGCTTTGCGCAAGTATGAGTCCATGTATCGTAAGCCCACGCACCAGGAATGACGAAATGCCTGTACGTACAAGATATGGAATATGCTACTCCATTGGTGCTCACGTCGAACCATGGCTGAATTGCCATGGACGGGGGTTCTCTGGAGGGCGAAGAGTGCTAGGTAAGGTAAGGAAAAGCATGGGGGAATCTGCTGAGCAAGGGCTCGAAATAGTATCCTTGGGGATATACCCAGCAGTTACCTCAGGTCATACCAGTAATACTCATCTACGCTACCGTCGCCGCGATCAAGGTTGGTACCTGGTAAGTAGCAGTGGCAACCGTAATATTGTTACTAAAGTTGGCATGGACGCCGTAGTGCCAACAGCGTCAGGAAAGAACGGTCCCGAGACCGTTCGAACATCGCCGTGTGCTCCTTCCCACCCCAACGGCCCAACAGGGACGAACATTTTTTTCCGCATGGACACCTCGCAAAACACCACTCTCGCACTCTCTCAGATATTCATACACATAATGCACTACGAGGCTTTCTAAGCAAACTTGTTTCTATCCTTATATTCATCTCCTCTCATCATTATTCATCCCTCACGACGCTTCGAAATACTCTCCGTACGGGGCCTGTGATGCCAAAACTATACCAGTAGATCCAGTTTTGCCTCCGGGACCAGGCCGACAAGGGATCGGATTGGATACGCTCCCAGTGCTCCATACGCTCTAAACTACACATTTTGCCTGCTTCTCATGCATCATCGCAGTTTGTCCCCTGTTCGGCTCCCAGGCCTGTCCCTGCTGCGCCCATCTCAATCCCTTCCCACGGAGCACTGTTCCACCTTTGCGCCCAACCGATCCGGGTGCCATCGCAAGGGGTGCCACCCTCCCAAAGGCGAGCCGCGGCCGCCATCGTCGCCAAGTCTCCATTCCAACCAGCACGACCCGTTTTCAAGACCCTGATGCGGAAACGCGCGGCGTCCGCCTACGCCTGTAGAGCCAATCCATGGCCGCCTCCAGCTCCAGGCACCACCAATCATCACAGGGTTTTCGCCGTCTATCCCGCCAGTCGCCGGCCACAAATGTGAGCAGCTATCCGCGTGAACGCGGCCTATACCCGATCCAAAGGGCACATATGGCCGTCACCTGTGCTTGCAGCATCCGAGTAGATCGGTCTGTGGACGACTATGTCCGAGAAATCGGCGGAATAGAAGGGCGTCTCGTCTCGAAACCATCGTACAGCACTCGGGCTCTGGCTCCTTGGTACACGGCACCTGTGGGTGATGGTCACACCGGCTCGCCTGTCAGAGCCAGCCTGTTCGGCCTTGCTACAGCACTCGCACCTGTCGCCAGTGTATACCAGGATCGTGAAATAGCATCTGATCCCAGATCTTGCCCGCTTCTGTCATCGAAGTGGGACAAGAACCCTAACAGACGCCTTATGAGTAGGTACTTGTACTCGTACCAGCCATGACACTGAATGGACAGGGCTTGCGGATAAGTTGATAGGCTCATCATCACCAGAGCCTGCCTGCCTGCTTGCACTTCCGTGCTCTCTAATAGCGGTCCGCCACAAACGTCAGCTTGCTTACCAGCTACACGTGCCTGTGCAAATACCACTTTTAGTCAGGCCCACCAAGAAGCAAGGCGTCATAGCCTGCCTCTGACTATCTGCGTGTGAATGCACGCTCTCGGTAATTCAAATGATACCTACTATAAACCGGTTACCAGAAACCAGAATGGCGGCTCGAAAAGCCCAGTATCCAATTCGGCCATGCCCAGATTCGTAGGCAGGGGCCAGAACTGCCTTGACGACGTGCCACAAGGGCATCGGCTGTTGTCCGACCCTGAGGGCCAATAGGAACTCTGGTACTAGGTAGGGAATGGTCGTCAAGCAGCTTGGCTGATTAACGCCGCGTTTAGCACCGTCTCGTATCGCCGCCGCCGCCCGCGGCTGTGTCAGGCCACGTACGCCCGACGGCATTACTTGACCTCTTCACCCGCTGGATGTGCACCACCGTTCCACTAGCGCTAGCCTTCGCTTCTGCTTCGGCGCCCTCCAGCGACTGTGGCACGGTTGAGCCCAGCGTGGGATGCTCACAGCGTCTCATTACAGACGGGGCGCGCTACAGCTGCCTACTGCTATAAGGCTCAAAGAAAACCCCGGGGCCCTCAAGCCACTGATCAGATCTGCGGCAGATTGATAGAGCGCCTCGCACGAATTCCTCGAGAATCGCGCACGAGGTTTGTCTTGGCTGTCTTTCATGCCAAGAGCAGAACTGGCTTACACAGTTACTCAAAACGCTTCCCGTTGAAGAGCCGCCCAGACTGGAGCACAGTGCCCGCCGGCCATCCGCCAGCATCAGGCATATAACATGGCTGCTCGTCGCATCAATCAACTGATTGCCCACGCTGTTGAACGCTGGCACGGCTAGCCCAAAGGATTGCTTGGCCGTGAGGACTAGTACAGTTTGCACAGCACGCCACACCAAATCCTTTGAGAGTCGACATTGGGCTCGTGGTAACACATGGCTGAACACGGCATGCAGAAGTTTGGCCAGACAATTCGTGGCTTGTTTCGGCTTGAAACGCCTGCCTGCGAAGATGCTGAGATATCACACCGCCGGAAGGGCCTGGGCCGAAAAGGATGTCAGTCTGGGCATGTTTCTCATGCCCTCTTGTGCCGCCAAGATAACCGCTGGAGCAAACCCACTCGGCGGCTACCTATTAGTTACAATGGATGTTTGAATGCTGGTGAAAATTGGGCAATTGCGTTGTGGCCGAGCCAGCTGCTAATCTGCAATGTTTCCTTCGCAACCTCCTGCAACGAGCAGCAAACTATACTCTAGCGTCCCGAAGGATCAGGGTCGTCACAAAATAGATTCCGTTCTTGTGGCCAGAGGCCCACTCGCCATCCCAGGTTGACGTTCAGTTTACGAGTACCGATCTCAAGGTCGCCGATGCTGATGCTTAACGCCGGTCACTCTGGCTATGATGGATTCAACGACTTTGGAAAGCTCCATCTCCAGCTGTTTCTTTCGAGGAGTCAACTCCCCCGCTGCCTCTACTAACCTAAAGGCTCCGAAGTAAAATGTATGCAGTAGGGCAACCGAGTCACCAGGTGCCATTGTGTATCTGGTCTAGCCGGAGCACGAGTGTCCAACAGATGGTGTGCACGACAAGGTGCCGATCTTGCCAATGCTGGGCAGCGTATCTACATTTAACAGACAGCATAGGCGATACAGCAATCACAACAGTGCTGAATCCGTGGACGAAGTGACACATTATTCCTTTGGATTACAAAGGTGGTGACGATGTCGTTACACTGTGCAATGTGTGATATGTTATAAACCCCAATCAGACTAGGCTTCCCAAAGCCGTGGGCAAACAGGGGAGCAGCCAAGACGGCAGGCATCTTTTCACAAAAGACAGTGAGATATGTCGCCGATAGCATTACCGCACCTTTGCTTTGTTTCCCCATAAGCAAGGTAGCACCACCATTGCGACAAAGTATTTTGTCATAATCACGGCTTGAAAGATTCCGACAGGGTTCTTTCAGCTCCGATCCAACGGCTAGCAAGATGTTGGGCTTACAATTCTATGCCCAGATGGGATAAGACGCCTGAGGGAACGACGACATTGCCATTATTAGTAGTGTAATACTGGAACTGACAGAAGCATTGGTACGAGAGGGTGCAAACAAGCAAGCGGAGCAGCTGCATCTGGATTCCTATGTGGGCTCAACTGTCTGTTCGTTTACCAGGTCCCAGGCACGGTGACATGCGAGATAAGACGCATATCCTGGCAGCCATGTGCCCAGCGTCGAGAAGCAAAGGCGAGGCCCCGTTGGTGCTGGTTCGGCTTGGATAGAGGGGGAGAGGGAAGAGGAGAGCATTAAAGCCAATGCCCTTAGAGGCTACACCTGCTGTACTCATCCTTTTGCGACGGAGTGCCTTAGCGGCGAGCTGTTGGATCGAGGTGAGTCCCATCTAGTGCCTGTAATTTGCTCTTCCAGCACTGCACAGTACAGGACAGTGAAGCCGCAGAACTAACAATAGACCAGAGTGGACGAGTTGAAGCCCCAAAAAAGAAACAGTGGGGATTGGGGGCGTGTGCGGTTGGTTGAAGATTGCAGCCGTGGGTCTGTGCGTGTCTCTGCTTTAGCGAGGCTAAAATTAAGTTGCAAGCGCGCAGCGGACAAGGGAACAGCCGGGCCGGAAAATCGTTTCTTCACACGCACAAGACAAGACAAAGAAGATGCGATTCCTACTTCTACTTTTGTGCGCCTACACCGATGCTCTCCGCGCAGCGTCTGGTTCGTATCGTATTGCGCAAGCTGCTGGACCTGGATCCGGACCCTTGCTTCAATCAGGAAACCACTGCCGAAAGCGTGTACTCGTAGCGCTGCCCCAGGGCCATCGGACAAATCGAGTCGAGCCAGGGACGGAGAACCGGGAGCAGAGTTTAGCATCTTACGGCGCCCTGACGCTGACTCAGGTATTAGTACGAGTGGCTGGAGGCTGCTAATTCAATCTACAGCCTACAGGTACCAGGGAATCACGTCAACGTCTTCAATGAGGGGATCCAAACAATTTCTACCTATTTACGTACGACTTACCATTGAAGTCTTTTCGATGACTAACCACCTACCTGCAATAAGCACATATTCAAGATGCCCCGTGCACGCACATCAACGTCAATCAAATCCACCGCCAATCACAGCACGTCATCTCACCGTTTCTCATCCTCTCTCCAACACACGCAGCAACAAGCATCCAGACAGCTTTATGGCCCAAAAATAGCACCAGTCGACAAGGTTCATCGGATCAAATACCCTTTTTCCCTTGGCATGGCAACTATATCAAAAATCAACTAATGCTCAACTCAAGCTTCAAAATCTATTTATGTATATTCCCTCTCTCCTCTCTCCACCCCCACACCCGTCCTGACCAATGATTGTCCTCGAAATAGCCGCTCAGCTAATCCTAAGCGCTCGCGAATAGGACCGGCAGCTTCTTCTAGAACGATTCTTTTCTCTTTCAGCGCTTCCAATCTTCAACAATATTGTTCATCCCCCCGTCGTTTCAAGCTGCAGGAGGAAGAAAGAGGGTAACATTCTCTTTTGCTATTTTTATCGCCCATGCTCATGCAAGGCATCGTTCCTTGGGACCTTGCATGTTGCCGCCCCTCCTAATTGCCTGCCATCACTCCCCCTTCCCGCCAACAACAACAGCAACAACCATCGAGGTTTGCTTCTTACCCGCCCATCCCATGAACTATTTGGCGTCATGGAGACGCCGGGCATGTCTTCCTTCTCCACCTCCCCATATTGAGGAGACAACCACTCGGCATATGCCAGTAGCGGTTCTTTCATCCGCTTCTATTTCTGTCTTTGCCGCCAAACAAAGTCCCACCTTGCTCATGCATCGCGAGCAATCCCCCTGACTGGACTGGTGGTTCCTGAATTCCCCATTCCGTGCTCACGGTACCGCCGTGATTCTTGATGCATCATACCTTACCTACAGTACACGCCCCTCCATCTTCCCTTGTTTCCCCCCTTGAACCCCCTCCAGATGCTAGTTTATGAACCCAGATATAGCCATCTCGATCTTTTTATTCCACGCGAGATCAGGGGATGTGTTATTTTTAGAGATGTTGTTGCTATATTAAGATGTAGCCTCAATGCAGGTGTCTAAAAGTAGCATGAGCTTTAATGAGACATCATTCATGAACCCGTCAACGACGCTCTCGTCTCCCCCTTGACCTTGAGCTCTTTTCTAGCCACTCGTTTTCCCCCAATCAACCCCCCGTATCCTACATACATGTGCTCTGGAGAATAATGCTGTTTCATGCGGAACCCCCTCCCTTGTTCATTTTGTTCCTGCTTATACGCCAGCCCACACAAAGAGTAGATACGCCGTTTGCGAATAGCTTCCCCTGATGAGCACGCGCCCGCTAATACGTCACCATACGTTGGGGAACCTGCATGCTCCTCCCATATTTCACGACCGGCTCTGCGACCATGGCGCTTCTTTAGTTCGTCGAAGCCGAAGGAGGGGGGCACCCCGTAAGAACTTGTTTCCAAAGCAGAAGCGCTTGGGCTCATCGAAGTCTAACACAGTAGTCGTTTGTTTCATGGATCCATCTTTCATCTTGCACAAGCGCTGTGAATAACCATGCCATCACATCGGTAGCAGCTAAAATCTTGCAGATAACGATTCCATGGCGCGTCTATCCGGAGTTAGGGATACGCCACAATCTAAGATGATCTCGCTTCCAGGGTTTTGCAAGTTTGCTTTCTCTAATTCATCCCCACGAACAGGGTTATCTCCCTGTCATTTTGATAGAACAAGACAAGATGATGGGAAATGGGCGCGTAGGGCAAAGTACCGGTACACGAGAGGTACTCAGTATCATCATCTTCATTTCTTCTGCCTCTTCAGACTCTTGTCGCTCACAGAGCTCAACACACTAGCGCTTCGCTTGCGCGTGGTAACACCGCTGTCTTTCCCTTCGTCCGCGTTATCATCGTCCTGTTCCACGGATGGCTGGGCGGTTGCTTCGTCTGCTGCGTCCTCATCTTGCTCCTTTTCTTCATCCTCGGGGTGAGCTGCAGCACCATCTTCATCATTGTCCTTGGAGGGCTCATCTGCCTCCGCCGATTCGTCTTTAGCATCCTCATCATCTTCATCAGCGTCTGCAGACTTTTCAGCGTCTTGATTACCCAGAGCCTTTTCCCGCTCTGCCTTCTTGGCGAGTTCAAGCTTAATCTCTGCGTCAATCTTGTCTGTAATCTTGCGAGCATCGAGAAGGCTATTCACAGATGCCAAGAGCTGTTCAAAGGCATGCGTTGTCGCTGCTGTAGGCATAGCCAGCTTGGCAGGAACATCCAGCTCGTTGAGGGTGTTGGTGATACGCAACTGCTGCTGGTTGGATTTATGAGAGAACAGCTTGTTGATCTTCTCTGTCCGGAAAGTAGGCCCGGAGCCCAGGCGATCATGATGCGTGACACCGTAGATAATCTCCTCGTGCTCGGTAAGTTTCTTGCGCTCTTGCAGCTGTTGTTGTTGCGATTGCTGTTGCTGCTGCTGTTGTTGAGCCTGTTGCTGTTGGATTTGTTGCTGTGATTGAGACTGTGACTTCTTGTGTGCAGAGGACGCCGCCGTTGACGCACCCGACTCCCGTGGTCCGGAAGAAGCCGCAGCGCTATCACGTCTTCCGTTCTCTGGAGCTGCCTGCTGCGGCGTGGGCTGGCCTGAGGGCGTGGGCACTTCAGCACCCATAATAGACTTTCGTTTCTTAGACTTGTCGGCGGTCATCAAATTTTGTAGCAATGTCTGTAAGCCAGCCGATGACTTGAAAGTGTTGATATCTTGCTCTGCGTGGGGATAGTCCAGGCGGTTGTACAGCTCCCTCCGTTCTTCGTTGAACCTGTCACTTCGAGCCAAAATTCGCTTAATCTCCAGTAGTAGCGATTCTTCCTCGCGCGCCTCTTCGCGAGACCTCCCAAAGGAATTCAGGGCAAAATCCTTGCGCAGCTTTTCCTGTTGGGGGTTGAAGTGCGCCATTAACTCATGGAGCGCAAATTCGGGCTGTGTCATGTATTGGACTGGTTTCTGGACGGCCATCATTCTGGATGCCACTTCGTAATATCTCGCCTTGAGGTCCTCCATCGACCGAGACCGTGTAGCTGGCACGATAGCCTTACTCTCGTCACCATCGGCGTCGGCCTCACCATTCGTAGCTGGCGGGCTCCATTCGTAGCGATCCCATATAAGGGGCCATCTGATATCAAAGTCTCGCACCAACTCCATCAAGTAATCTGTCTCTTCCTTGGTCCAATCGGGATTCTCCAAGACTTGATGATACTGGTCCTCGTTGTACTGAGGCACTGAAACTTGAACATTGTACTTTGCGTACAACGAATCTTCAACATCCTCTGTCTCCGGCACATTGCCATCTCCTGCCGCTGAAGAAGACTGCTTCCCTTCTTCGACCCTCCTCCAGTGCCTCAAGACCAGGCTTTCATCTTTCCTTCCAGAGTTCGCAAACTGTCGCAGCTCCCATCGTGCGGCCGGCTTACGACTAACGAACCGGCGCTTCTTGAACTGCGTGACCTCTGGAACAATGGCGATGGGGTTGTCGCCGCCCAGATTGTGCACCTCGCGCGCGAGGCCCTTGAGGTTGGGGCGCGGGGCGGTGATTTTTGCCTTCTTGGAGGGACGAGGGCCGCCGGCAGCGCCATCGGGGAGGTTGAGCACGTCGCGGACGTCGGAAGATGTCATTGTGGTTGAGATTATCGGCAGTTTTTTGTAGAGGAAAGTTTGGAGGAAAGGATTTATGCCGTCATCGCTTTATTTCTATTTAAGCCCGCGAGCAAATAAACAGAGTTTCGATCGAAAGTGGATGCGTTATCGGTTGTTTCAATTAATGGCGATAAGTCGCAGTCGGATGCGGATGCAGCGATGATTGAAAGAAATAGGAAATCATCAAGACGAGTTGGAATAATCGTGCAAGGCTGATGGTTTGCAGCAAGCTTGAAAGTTCTGGCAAAGCGCGTTTGGGCAGCCGGTCGAGTGCACGTGACCCACGCCGGTGCTGGTACAGACCCCTGGATTTTCTGAACGTGGCAGCTTCGCTGAAGGAGGGACGAAGTTCAAGTTGACCAAAGGGAGACAGACGCTCAACCGCCAATTGCGCCGTCCTTTTTTCCTTCCACAACCAAGCGAAAACGGGCCTCAATTGCTGTGATCGTGCCATTTTACTATTGCACGAGAAACCGCAAATTTCATCGCGGAGATTCGGTGCAAAAGACAACTTCACCCGCCCCCCGGTTTATAACACATCAACCACAGCCAGCTCCCCTCAACGAAACAACACAAAGATGAGGTCCCTCTTCTCTCTGGCCACCTTTGTGGCCGCGGCGCAAGCTCTGTACTTCTTCATCGACGGCGGCACCCCCAAGTGCTTCTACGAAGAGCTTCCCAAGGACACTCTAGTCGTGGGCCACTACTCTGCCTCGGAGTGGGACGACCGGGCGAACCAGTGGCAGGAACACCAAGGCATCACCATCTACATCACCGTCGATGTATGTAAACACAATACACATTCCCCCTTATATATCAATTGTTATTACAGGGAACACACTGGCTAAAACAGCAGCAAACAAACAGGAAATCTTCGACAACAACCACCGTGTCGTCTCCCAGCGAGGCACCTCCTCCGGCCGCTTCACCTTCTCCGCCGCCGACGCAGGCGACCACAAGATCTGCTTCATGCCCTCCTCCAGCAGCGGCCGCCCCGGTTGGCTCTCCATGGCCAACTACAACGGCGGCATCAAGCTGCGCCTCGACATGGTCATTGGCGAGACCAACCAGATCGAGAGCGACGACAAGGAGAAGCTTCAGGACATTACTACCCGCGTCAAGGACCTCAATGCCAGGCTGAACGACATTCGCAGGGAACAGGTTTTCCAAAGAGTCAGTTTTACACACACCCTCTCCCCCTTCCTTTGGCGTTTTTTGCCATTACTCTTCATGTTAGTGTTAGATGCTTACACTACTTCCACCATCTTCAGGAACGAGAAGCCGAGTTCAGAGACCAGTCCGAATCCACAAACGCCCGCGTCGTCCGCTGGATCATCATCCAACTCGTCGTCCTCGGCGCTACCTGCGCATGGCAACTCTCACATCTACGCTCATTCTTCATCAAGCAAAAGCTTACTTGAGAAGGATACAAACTAGAAGCGACAAATAGAGCTTGGGGTAGGAAGAAGGTTTCGACTTACTAGCCTTTTGGGGGGAGGGGATAACTCTTTATTAAAAACAATACTGTGGGAGTCAGGAAGAAGGAAAATATTCGAAATACGATAAACAGCCCGTCGTTTCGTTCCACATCTAAACCGTCAAAAAAAAAACCCTCTCGATCAAAGTACATATCAGGTGTGCGAGGAAAGGGTGAGGTCCGTCCATTTACTTAATGTATGATGCGTAGCGTAGTTGCGGCAAATTGAAAGAAATGAAAAATCTTCGATATAGTAATTGTTCCAGTTGATTTTTTTTAATAAGTTTACCAAGTTTTGCTGCATCCTCACACTTTTTTTGGACAATCCTAATTCCATTACAAGGTATACCGATGAATAACTCCCTACCTAATGACGGATCCCAAACTCTCAAAAGACATCTTCTCTCCGTACAAAGCTCGCCAATTTCTGAACTGTCACACGTGAAATGCTGCTACTACCTCGACCTCGTCTCTCTATACACACCCATGCCCAGCTCGTCACTCGCCCCCCTTTCCTTGCTTCTATTTCATTCTCCGCCACTCCATGATTCGCAAGACTTATTATATAGACGGCGCAAATAGAGTAAAAAGAAAAGCACACCTGGACCAGACCCAATGCTGCCCTTCGTGACCATCCTGCGCCTTGCTGCGCTGCACATCGAAAGTGGTGTAGTATGGTGTCGTAATGGAATGTCAGACATAAGAAAAAGAAAAAAGGAAATAATAATATGGAAAAAAAAGAAGAAAAAGAAAAAGAAAAAAGGTCCAACCAAAAAATCAAGACCAGTATCCGTCTGTCGTTTTTTTTCTCTCTCGCAACTCCTTCTCGGTTGGTCGTAATGGACACGCGCTCCCATCAATGCCGCGGTTCTTCTATTGAGTGGTAGGTAGGTGGTATGACATGGATGTAGTGAAAGTATGGAGTAAATCGATTCGCTATTCTGTTTCCAAGCCGGGGGTGTCTTTCGCCTTGAACGGTCCATCGCCTTCCTCTGAGCCCAGGGCCCTGCAGCTCTCTTCTGCCATCTAGTATTTGGCTTGAGCTGCAGTCGTCTGGACGCAGAGAACAAAATGTCCGTCTCACCAGCAGGTTTGATTTTTTTCTGTTTGCTTCAAGGAATCAATCTCCAGTAGAATTAAGAGGGGCGTCGACATAATTTGTCGGGGTACAATGTCGCCAGCCATGCATGGTACTAAATAAATCCCGAAAAACTCGCAAAAAAACAAACAACGCCCGCTTTAGCCACAGCAAATGGTCTTCATGAACTTCTGGAACCCGCTGGGCTGCTGGGCCTCGGCGGGTCGCGCACTAGGCTGGCCTGCTGCCGTCATGGGGCCCTGCTGGCTCGTTACCGGCTGGGGGAGGTTCTGGGTGCTGTTCTGGAACTGGGCCTGAGTTGAGCCAGTGGGGGTACCCATTTCGCGAAGACCTGTTCCACTCATCCGCTGGGCTGGCAGTGCGCCGGGGGCGTTTGGTCGATCTCTCTTGCTCCCCATCTGCTTGATCGGCGAAGGAGGAGGGGGCTGCGCGGCGTTTAAACGGCCGACAGTGAGATTCTGAGCCTGCTGTTGAGAGCTGGTATTCCCAGGACGATGACCACTGTGCAGCTCCATTTGAGAAGGACCGGGGCGCGCGTTTGGGTTGTGCAAGTATGCGGCGCCATGATTCTTCATCGAGTCCCACCCCTTTCCCGAATCCTTGCTGATCTTCATCCAGTCGTACTCGCCATCCTCGACGTCGCCGGCGTTCTTCAAGGCCTGGGTGAAGAGCTCTCGAAGGTAATCGTAGTCGGGGGTATCCTCGAAACCAAGGTTTCGGACGTACGTCAGGTACTTGCTGAACTCCTCGGGGAAGCCCTCGCAGAGATCCTTGATGGCAGTGGTCTGCTTCTTCTCACCAATCTTTTCATATTTTTGCTTGTTAGTAGCAGCCTTGAGGCCCTGCCAGGGGAGACCGCCACGCAGGAAGTACATGAAAACGTGGCCAAGAGCCTCCAGGTCATCTCGTCGAGACTGTTCGCGACCAAGATGCGTGTTGATACTCATGTAACGGGCAGTACCGGACAGCGACTTCCTCTCGCGGTAGGGGATGTGCTGCTTGGTCTTGGGGTCTCGGTATTGCTTGGCCATACCGAAGTCGACCACGTGAATGACGTTGGATGCCTTAGTTCCTGGTCGTCCGATCAAAAAGTTGTCGGGCTTGATATCACGGTAGATGAGGTTCTTTTCGTGAATCGTCTGGACTCGGGAAAGCATCTGCTTGGCGACCATGACGACGGTCTTGATCGTGAACCGACGTCCGCAGTGGTCGAAAAGATCCTCGAGAGAAGGTCCGAGCAGGTCGATGACAAGGATGTTGTGCAGACCCTCCTGTCCGAAGTAGTAGACATTGGGAATGCCGGCTAGAAAGAAGCGCGCCGCGTTAGCATCAACCGTCTGTATCGTTGAGGTTGGCGAAAATGAATAGGTGTGGCTTACGGCAACCAACGAGAATCTTATACGTGCGGTACTCATCCCGAAGCTGTGGTGCATCACTCTTCCGAGGTTCCTGCGAGGCAGCAATGTCAGTATTAACTAAAGGGGAAAAATTGAGAGTCGACACGACAAGGCGAACAAAGACGCCAGCGATTTATCTTTGCGTGTAGACGTTGCTATACGCGGACACGCAGGCTTTGGCTACTCACAAATTTGATGGCCACCTGCTGGTTGTTCAACAGATTGGTTCCCTCAAAGATGACTCCAAAGGAACCCTCTCCAATTTTCTTGCCGACCCGGTAGTGGACGCCGACGACGTTTGACGACGAGGAAGCCATGGCTGCGGTGGAAGAGCGACGTCGAGAATGTCGAAAGAGGCTCGAGACGATGGAGGATAGAGGGCGAAAGAAGGATCGTCGACTACTTCCGGTCGGACGAACGGTCGGGGCGGCGAGCAGAGGCTCGGGAGCAACGAAGCAGCCCCTGGACAGGGGGGGTCCGGAGAATCAAGAGGGCCGGAGTCTGTGAGAAGGGCCAAAAGGATACAAGCAGTCAGCGACGACGTTAACTAAGCATTCCGGCGTGATGCTGGTTTGGAGGCGATGGCGATGGCGATGGTGATGGCGGTGGTGATGATGGCAATGCAAGCGGGCTGGAGAGGATTGAACGACAGAGTGCAGAAAAGGACGAAGGAGCGAGTGGACAATTGCTGGGGTGCTCATTTTGGGGCGAGGCAAAGTCTGCTGAGGCGGGCAGGGGTTGGGCAGGGGCTGCGCTGGGGGTCCGGGCGGTCAAGCCAACCTGGGGGTTGTCCCGCGCGGCCTAGAGGCATCCTAGAGGCATGCAACGAGCGCTGAGTGGCGGGCGGTCCACTAGCCTGGCCGAGGCGCTAGCGGTGCATCCAGCGCCTTGCACAAAAAACTTGTCCACTGGAGCAGCGAGGGCCAGCGCCAGCCAGCGCCTACAGTTGGCCCTCCAATGCACTGAGCACGAGAACAGCCAGCCAGAGCGGCGACACCGCGCCACAAGCCCACACTCGCCGGCAGCCGCGCTTCTTAGGCCGGGAGGTTATGTTGAAAGTTGGCTTGCACCCGACCAGACCCTTTTCAATCCAGGCACTCGGCGGTTAGCATCTGCAGTAGCAGCAAAGTAGGACTCACCCGGGCTGGTAGCTTGTTGCCACTCTATTCTGCTCAAAGTTTCAATCAACTGCCAACGGGGCGGCGAGAACTCGGGAAAAAGATTGGATGAAAGAGTGAAGAATGATGCTCAGACCCAAAAGGTACACGGAGGAAAGGAGTTGAGCAGGAAACAGGAAGGAAAGGGAGAATCCATGGGAAATGGGACGCTGCAAGGTTCGCCAGTGCATCCTCACCCAGGGTCGCGCGATTTCTGTACCTGGGACCGCCAGGGTACTCGCGCCCCAAGTATCTGCCAGCCTCCCGCGCCGCGCAAAGATACCTCCCTTGGTGTTTTGACGCGTACCGGGGACGCGAGCTAGGCGATGGATTGGAAGCGCAGGGCTCTCTGCAGTAAAGTGTACCTGTGCTCGTACATGTACGGATTCGGCCGCGCAGAAGTTCTACCACAATGCAAACGAAGCTATGGAGCAAGCTATAACCTTGGCTCCCACGCGACTCGGTGCCTGGCTTCAGACGAACAGGCCCAAGTGCTGTGCTACGAGTAATTTTGTATCGTAAAAAGCAGCATGAGCGGCTTTTCTCAGATCCAAGAGCAATCTGGACTGGCCTGGCCTGGGTTGAAACCTAATGCTACCTAGCACGGAGAGCTAATAGAACCTACGGTCGGGTAATACGTGCTAGAGTGGTGTCGTACCTTGGAGTACGTGTAGTGCTCGCCCCATTGAACCTGGAGAACCTTACGGGAGCTCGTGCTTGGGCATGAACATGGACGGAATGAAGAGCGAATCCGTCAATGCGACCGTTGCGGACACAGGACACGTGCAGCCGGTTTGTTTTCTTGCGCCGATTTTGATGGGAGCAGCAAGATGGATGGAAACCATCAATCAATCTCTGAATCACATCCAATGCGGTAAGCCCTACGCCAACAGGTACCTACTCGTACGGCGTCGTGCAACAGAATCGGCATCGTCATCCACTGAGCCATTTCGCTTCCGAAAAGCTCAATGCGCGTCAAAGTCAATATTACCACTAGCAGTAATAAGGAACATCAGCCAGCCCGGCCCTCCACGGGCACCGCCGATGGTGTTCCGAGTCGTTGCGCTTGGCATCGACCAGCCGAGTGCAGCCTGGCGTGTTGGCATGGGCGGATCGAAGAGGGCTGTCGCTTGGCCCTCGCATTCCCGCAAGCTCCAATCATTGCCTGCTACGTGCATCCAAGCTTCCAGCATCCAGAGCGTGGATTTCCGATGTCGTCCACGTCCACGACGGCCTCAAATGCAAAGAGCCGACCTTGGACGCCGGTGACATGCCGCGATAGCTGCTTCTACGAGTACGGGCAATGTACCTACCGCGCCGGCGTGTGGATCACCTCGTACCAAGTGCACGCTTGTACCTTGCGATTACTGCTCCGTACTACGCTCAAAGACGGCCAAGCTCGAGCACAATCGTCTCCGATCCCAGAAACAGCGTCCCAGTTCCGTTAGCCGCGCTGGGGAGCGAGCAGACGAGCGCCCCATCGTGTCTCCACGGCAATGACAGCAATGCGTTTCGCTATACGGAGCTCTTTCATAACGACCCCCTGGTGAACTCATGGTACCGTGGCCGTTGCCCGAGTTTCCTCATCGCTAACGACGGTCCCTTTGCTCTGCGAGCCCCCCTTACCAGCAAATTTATTTGCTAATTACTATCCAATCCTCACCTTGGATCCCTGGCCAGGAAATGTTTGGGGAGGCCAGTACGGATACGGAATGCTGCCACCTGAAGAATGCCGTGGTAAAGCGGGAAAGGCGACAGCAGGTACTCCAGCTCCAGCTACCTTGCTAGCACCAGCATAGGTACCGTCTTCCAGATAATATTACAGATCCATTCTGCGTTATTAACTGGCGGTACTGGCATCTGGGAAGAGGCATCGCCGGTTTCGTCTGTGTTCGATGTTGGGTCGAAGTCGAGCACGGAGTAAAAAGCAATTACAGCTGCTCCATCGTCAATCAATCGTTTGCGTCTCTACTATTGTCGCAAAATGGCTGCTACTCTATTGCCCCTTTGCTAGTGTACGAGGACGGATATCCACGCCAGAAGCCAATGCACGTACTTGTACTGGCTGATATGCTCCGTACTTGTGCAGCTTGCCGTTGCATTGAATCGAATCCTCATCCCCGCCGTCAGCTACGAGGCACTCAATGAGTGGCTGCCGTAGCAAGTAGTGCGCTGCATCTACTTTCTCCTCTGCACCGCTAGCCTCGTCACACGCAGCGGCACATGTGAGTGACGCTCAGGTGCTTGCTGCCCTTGCAGGACAAGTTGAGGACATCTGCTGGGTCGGTCGCACCGTCGTGGGGCTCGCGAATGCATGCGTCTGCCAAACACGGCTGACAACACCGTATTACAGCTCGTACATGTCTCTAGCCGACGAACAATGGGATCCATTGACGGCTTGTTCTCTCCCTTCTCTCCCTTTATCGCCTTTATGGCAAGGTCTCAGTTGCGGAAACGTAGGTGCCGGTAAGTGTCTTAGTGCTGCTACTTGTAGGCACAGAGCTGCCGAGAGGAGGTGGATTAGAAGCTCGAAAAATGCGGCACCTCATTGCCGGGCAACGCGTGAGTCCCCTTGAATTCCTTGAATCAACTTCGTTCTCGGCACGAAATATTTGTAGTTGATTCGTGTCGAATGTAGGGAGTTATGAGCCGGTCCGATAGCTTCCAGTACCTACCTCCTATGCTGCAAAGGTACTCCGCAGACGTCGATTTATCACCTTACAAGAGGCATTGCCGGGTAGCCGTGGCATTGAAGACATCATAACACGACACGGCAACGGGCAATTGAAGTCTGATCCAACAAGCTGCGGGAATGAATGCAGTATATATTGCTACTCCATACCACACACACGGAACCGGGAACCGAATTAGCAGCGTCTTTTTTTTTTTCGGGGTAATCCTGGGGACTAGTTCCCCGTCCAAAATGCGGGCTTTCGGGGCACAGCGCCTTTTGCTACCTCATCTCTTTGCGATAGATCGGCCTTGATTCCCCGAAGCTTCAAGGTCTGCCCAGCTTACTTCGTACGGGCTATTGAATTCGTCGGCGTGTGAGTCAAACGGCCTATCGGTAGAATGAACTGCCGCGATACGGTCGATCAGGACTTTTGAGATTCAACCAAGCCCGAAAAAATCACCGGCGCTTTCGTTCAAGATGGCCTATTGGCGATGGGGAGACGGCGACGTGGCTTGCGTAGAGTTGCTAGTTGCCTACCCTGCAACTGGGCGATGAGATCTATATTTGCACGCAACGCAATACTTGTTGAATTACGCAATGGGAGAGCAATAGGCAATCCGGGCGTCATTGTAACGAACCTGGAATTTGCCCTCAAACCAGTTGGGGCTCTCTACCATTGAAGCCACTTACCCCGAGACTTTTATTTTCCTCTCCTAGCTATCAAGGTGTCTGCGTCGCATGCTATGCTGATACCATCCATTACGCTCAATGCTCAATGACGATATGCCTAGTGCCGATATCTGCTTCAGCCCCTCGCCATTTAGCCCAGCTAGTCTGATCCACAACCTTCAAAATAAACGTTGCAACTCTCCCCGTCCTCGTGCTTAGAAATCCGGATATATCGTTGTTATTGGACAGCCGCCAGACGCAAACACTTGTCGTGCTAACGGCCGCGGTTATTTCCATTTCCCACTTTAGCAAGGGGCCCCGAAAATTCACCTCTTGGTACGGAGTATTGCAACGGCTTCTCCCCGTCACTCGGTGGGGGCGTTACGTCTCTGCTAGCTTGAGTTGATGGTCATGGACAAAAGTTGCCCCGCCTGTTTGAGAGGGAGCTGTACGTTTGTAGATGGGAATCGAAATTACCCCTCCGAGAGGAGGGGACAGAGGAGCGTACTTATAAAAGGACAGCTGCTCCGAGTTGCTATCGATCCTCTTGGATTGTTTTGTGAAGCAAACATCTCCAAATTCCACCCGACTCAGACACAATGGTTGCCACAACTAAGCCAGAGGGGCTTCCCCCCATGACATACCGATTCCTGGGACGTTCAGGTCTGCAGGTCTCGTCCATTTCTCTGGGTGGATGGCTCACATACGGTGGCCACGTCGACCGAGGTGCGTAAGAGCATTGGCAGCCTGTAACTCCAATGAATGAGACTGGAACGAGGAGGGACGAGGAAAGACAAGGAGACATATATACTGACAGATGGTTATCAGAGGGCACCTATGCCTGCATGAAGGCTGCCTACGACTGCGGTGTCAACTTCTTTGACTGCGCCGAGGCCTATGCTGGAGGCGAGTCTGAGAAGGTCATGGGAGAGGCTATCAAGAAGTTCGGCTGGAACCGTAACGACTTGGTCATCTCCACCAAGGTACTGCGCAGCCCCTCCACAATAGCAATTCGCATCTGCTGTCACGGACCTGAGTTCCGCTAACGTTGGTCTCTTTCGCCTTCCTGTAGATTTACTGGGGTCAAGCCTATGGCAACAACCCCGCCAACAACCTGGGTCTCTCCCGAAAGCACATCGTCGAGGGTGTCAATGCCGCCCTGAAGCGTCTCGATCTCGAGTATGTCGACCTGATCTACGCCCACCGCGCCGACCGCAAGACCCCCATGGAGGAGGTTGTCCGCGCCTTCAACCACATCATCGACTCCGGCAAGGCCTTTTACTGGGGCACATCGGAATGGACCGCGGTCGAGATCGCAGAGGCATGGCGGGTGGCCGACAGGCTGGGCCTCATCGGCCCCCTGATGGAGCAGCCTGCGTACCACATGCTCAACCGACAAAAGGTCGAGGGCGATTATGAGCTCCTGTACCGCGAGCACGGCCTTGGTCTCACCATCTTCTCTCCCTTGTACCAGGGCATCTTGTCCGGCAAGTACAAGAACGGCATCCCCGACGACTCTCGTTTCGCTCAGACCCAGGTTGCCTTCATCGCTGGTTACTGGAAGAGGACCGGAAAGGAGGTTTGGGAGGGATACATTGAGAAGGTCAACAAGCTGGAGCCCATTGCCGACAGGCTAGGCGTCAAGCAGGCCGCTCTGGCCCTGGCCTGGGTGCTCAAGAACGACAGAGTCAGCTCTGCCATCACAGGTGCCAGCAGCCCTGCGCAGGTGTACGAGAACATCAAGGCTCTGGCCGTCGTGGACCAGTTGACACCGGAGATTCTGAAGGAGATTGATGAGATTCTGAACAACAAGCCTCCTTCATTGGTGGAGAGAGAGTAGAGGGCATGATTAGAAAAGAGAAGAGAAACAAAAAAGTAACGAAAAGGGCTATGGCTCAAACAATATAATGACTCGGCGGCTTGCTGACATCTCACCTTCTATTGTTTTAGTAATCTGCCTGACGTATCCTTTATAAATTATTACTATCTCCGAGCCCTGGACTAATATACTAGTGATTGAATAGGGCTGCATTGCTTTTAGTATCTATGGAGTTGAATCCACCAGCATCCCAATGTAGGACTGCCAGCTCATACACAATTCCAATGTTGCCATGGTACTAAGCCCTAGGAAGATGACACGAAGTTTAAAGCAGCCACTAGCTATTATCAATCAGCAAAAAAAAGCATCTCCGGACAACGCTTACCCCTCCTCATCCACCTTATACTTAAGCTTGTGTTATCCGTCCTCAAGTATGTTGATGAGCTACATGTAGTTTTACTTGCAACTGAACTCGTTGTATCTCATACTCGAGCCTCAATATCTTCCTCGTTCCTTGCATATTGCCAACATGGCGACTTCAAAGATTCAGCAGTGGTTTCCTTGGGTGGAATCCCCGGTGATAGCTAATGCGCCCATGGCTGGCGTCGTCAGCGCGGAGCTTGCCGCTCAAGTTGCCAAAGCGGGCGGACTCGGTACGTGACGGCTTCATTTTACGCGTAACCATGACCCCAAAGAAGAAATGCAAAATATATACGGAGAATCATTAAGAATAAGGAAACATTAATAAAGAATTTTTCATCGAAATAATCCAAAAACCACTAACAGCTTGACCACGCAAAAAAGGCTTCTTGGGCTGCATCGCCGACGTCAGCGATAACTCGCCTCAAGTCACCAAGCTAGACGCCGACCTCACCAAGATCCGCCAACTCTTAGGAGACGCCGCAACCACGCCCTCGGGCCACCTGGCCATAGGCTGCGGCTTCCTCTCATGCCACAGCTCCATCGGCAACTTCGCCGCGACGGCGCTGCCCGTGATCCAGAAGCACAAGCCCGCGGCGGTGTGGCTGTTTGCGCCGCACGAGAGCATCCGGCCGCAGAAGGAGATTGTGCGGCTGCTCAAGGGGCTGGAGACGGCGCCGAGGGTGTTTATCCAGGTGGGCAATGTGACGGCGGCGGAGGAGGCGATCAAGGATGGGGCGGATGTGATTGTTTGCCAGGGGACGGATGCTGGGGGGCATCAGTTTATAAAGGGGATGGGGGTGGTGCCGTTGCTGGCTGAGACGAGGAAGTTGGTTGATGATAAGGGGTATAGTGAAGTTGTTCTATTTGCGGCGGGAGGTATTTCGGATGGCAAGGGCGTGGCGGCGATGTTGACGCTTGGTAAGTTGGACATTTGTGTAAAGACGAAGCTATACTTGGTGGTGAGGGTTGCTAACAAGTGATGTAGAAGCTGATGGTGTTGTCTTGGGCACAAGAGTTCGTATCCCCCACAACCCATATCGAGGATACTCGCCTCCTTGCAATGCAGACTCATACAGAGTCTAAGAGAACCCGATCTAACCGTGTATGCAGTTCACCGTTGCCGAAGAAAGTCTCATGCCCGAGTTCCGCAAGAAGACCATCCTCAACACCACCGACGGCGCCCTTTCCACTCTCAAGTCCCCGTTCAATGACCAGATTGCCAACTCGGGCCTCTGGGGGTCCCTCTACGACGGCAGAGCGGTTGTCGGGCCCATTCACGAAAAGTTCCTTGCTGGGGCGTCGTTTTACGACTGCTGGCGGAGCTTGCATGATGATCACCCACCCGAGGAGAGTGAGAGGTTGATCAACACCTGGGCGTGAGTCTCTCTCCTTTCCCCTACTCCTTGCTTCTTCTATGATGCCCATTGGATTTTGATTTGATACAAGCTGTAATTGAGGAAGCATCGTTACTGATGAGCTTGACAATATATAGAGGCGCGGGCATTGGATTGGTGACAAAGGCACAACCTGCAGGTGAGATTGTACGTGAAGTTCGTGAGGGAGCCAAGCAGGCTATTCGAAGAGTTGCAGGTCTTGTATAAGTAGTGAGAGCAGGCACAGGTGATCAGATCTTGCATCAAGTGTACACTTAATACTCGTAAAAAAAAAAAAAGGACTCCGGACTGGAAACATGTCCAGCCGGAATATGGTATTCTCGTCTATGCCAGTATTCATAAGGCACTATAACCAACCGTCCCTAGCCGAACTCTTTTGCGGCCGGGGAACAAAGAAAAAACAGTTTAACATCAGTGGTAGTAAACAGCGATGGTATGATACATGAAATAAAACAAAAAATGCCGTTTAATGATTTGTTTCCCCCTGTTTTCCCATATTCAACAACCCAACTTGCCAATGAGGTGTGGACTCGGCTTTTTACAGCTTGGCCTTGGTCTGGGCCTTCTTCAGGATGGGCTCCATCTTGGTAGCCTTCATGACGTCGCCCTTGACCTTGAGCTTGCCGGACATGAAGAGACGCTGGGCCTGAGCCTTGCCGGTGACGAGCTTGCCAAAGTCCTCGTCGGAGAGAGACAGTGTGACTGGAGATTTGAACAGAGTTAGCTAAACAGGGAAAAGCTCTCAAAAAATAAAAGAAGGGAAAGAAGAAGCCCATACCGGTGGGGTTCTCGCCGACGCCAGTGCCGACTGTGCCCTTCTCCTTGAGGTCAATGTGCCAGCTGGCCGTCTCGCCGGCCTTGTTCTTGAGGGTGAAGGCGAAGACGGCCTTGCCGTTCTTGATGGCATCCTTGCGGTCGGCTTCGCTGCTGCTCAGAGCGGCGTTGATGGCCTCGAAGGCCTCGGAGGAAGGGAATGCGTCTGCGAGCGCGTGCGTTAGCTTTTCGTTCTTTTATTTTGTCCTGCTTCCCCCAGCGGGCCACGTTTGTTTGCTTGCTTACCGTTCTTGAGAGACATTGTGGGCGAGAGTTGTAGCTGCGAGTGAACAACAAAGAGAGCAAAGCAAGGGAGACGGTTTAATGCGACAGTTTTAAATGGATTGGAGGAGAGTAAAGAAGAGAGAGGGCGGATGTTTAATACTGACGATTATAGCCGGAATGGATGGGATGGGCTCAATGGAGGGATCGGGCATGTGATGCGAGCCTCGGCCAAACTTCAGACTCTTGCTGACATCATCCGTCCTGACCACCGAAACAGCCGCTAGAGCTTCAGCGTCTCCATTGCGCTTTCGCCTTTTAGCTTTGCTTTCCCCCAATACCCCAATACATGCTGCTGGGGCTAGGCTGAATCGAGCAGGCCAACGAAGAGATGCAGCTGTTGGTCTTGTTCAGTGCCAAGCGGAGGTCAGAAAAAGCGAGACCACAAAATGAATAGGTACATACATTCAGCAATATGTGCACCTGATTAACTTATTGAGTACCTAGTAGTGCTTTTGCAGGGGAACGCCTGTTTTTACTAACACCTAGACTTTATAATATAACTTAGCACTTATTAAAAAATATATATATATATAAATTTAGTAACAGTTATTAAAAAAATATAGATTTAGTAGTAGTTGATAGGGAAATGTAGATATAATAGTAATTTCTTTTGTAGGCGTATGATTTAACTCGCGGGTGCTTGAAATCTTCTCGGTCGCGGTTTTTCTGTCCTCCACTTGAGTGCCTTGAACCAGCATTTTGTTGAGAGATGCGCATTATGACATATGGCCTTCTATGTGACGCGAACGGACAGCATGGTTGATGCGCTTCTCCGGTTATTCTTACGCGTGGGGCTACCCCGGATCTTGCACGTGGTATCCAAAGTCCGAGCAAAGGATTCATCAAGGTTTGAATTCGGCTATGGGTTTGCGCTAGGATGTTGATCAAAGTGATGAGAATTGGAGTTGAGAATATCATTAATGACTAAGGGACATTGAAAGAGGAGAAAAAGCATGCCATCATTCACTCCAAAAGGATGCATTCAACGCCCATGCTCTATACACAATGCTGATACCCCAATAACAAGACTCTGGCCATGGCAACCCGTTTATCCCGTGACCCAATTCACATGTATACCTCGTATATAAACGTCTATCAAGCCTTTTCCGTGATTACCGATCTAAAGGATTTTCAATGTAAATCATCTCGGTATAGCGCTAGTTTACAGCTCCCACTCAGGAACGGCAAAGTTGCGCTTCTGCGGCCAGTTCTCGGGTCTGCATACATCACATGTCACATGTCAGTTGGGCGTTTCCCGAGATCAACTTGAGTAAGGAAAAAGAGGCACACATACCTTGTCAGAAGCAGCGTCGCCATCCGTCGCCTTCGCTCTCCTAGTTCTTCGGCCGCGGTCAATCGCAGCCAGTCCCCAAGCCGGGTCCTCAGCTCCGCCTCACTCTTGCCCAGAATATTGAGGCCACGATCAGAACAGGCAATACGCAGCTCCTCCACTTCGAGGCCCGATGGACCACCGCCATCAATCAGTCGTTTGTCGTCAATTTCCAGGAACGACAAGCGCAGTCTGCCCTTGATATTCCACATTCCCGGAGGAGTAAATCCCAGCCGATCCCACATTGCACCTGGGAGATCCAAAGCCTTGAGAACGTGCCGGTGTGCCACGGCCTTTGTGACCCCAGGGCTGAGTATGCCTTGAGGGAGCTTGCTCTCCAGCTCGTCGAAAGCAATTGCGCGCCGCCGCTCGGCTTTCTCAATGGCTTCGTTCAGTGCCTTTGGAAATCGGCATGTGTACGGTAGTATGCCGGGCACAAAGATGACTAAAATGGGTGTGAATTCGCCGCAAATTAAGAAGAACAAGGCAAAAGCGGGCAGCCGCAAAAGATCATGTCTGGTTCGCCATAGCAGTACCCAGTCTGCGCGAGAGAATGAGCTGGGAATGTAGTGCGGCCTGAACCATGACGGTCGCTCTCCACGCGGTAAGCTTTTGACTCTGGCATTGAGCAGCCTGGCATTTGCGACAACGGCCCTGACGCCTTGAGCGAAGAACTTGGCATAAGATTTACCCAGCTGAAAGTAATACTTGATAGTAGACTCCTTGGCAAGCTGGGGATCAACAGGTAGTAGCGGTGGTGGCCGAGTTGAAGCTGGAGGATTGAGGGCTGCGTTTACGGATGCCGGCCGTTTGGTGGCGAGTCTGGTGCTCTTGTCATTGTGAAGGGCTCTTGAGTGATGCACAGCTCGGCTGGTGCGCAGGATTTGCGACTGCGCGACGAGAAGCTGAGGGCTGAGAAGCCTCCTGTTGGCTGTGAAGCCATATCGCTGTGTGATGTGATAACTCATTGGCGCAACTTCCTTCCTGCCGATATCTTAGACTGAAGGAGATTAAAGAAAAGAGGACTAGATGGATTTTTTAGCATCATGACCGACCGAGATTGGACCCAGTTGCGTGGAGCAGACAGAGTGCAAGCTTTCCATACCTATAACCAGGTTTTTGGACTGGAGGCGTCCAAGTAGTCTATGTGTCGTCTATTTAATGTTCCATGATGTCAGTGCTCATCAACTGCTAAAACATTAGTCGCGTAGATCTGGTTGAAGCTGGCTAAACAGTTGGGAAGCCGATTTGTTACGCACATTCACAACATTGAAGTCATTGAGAGCATTGCCAATTCAGTTTGGACAACAGTTATTGGTATGGATTGTTAAAATAGAGAGAAAAAAAAGCTTTGCTGCATCTTACCAACCTAGGAAATTCGCACTCCGCGGGCACTTTCTCTCCCGTCCGGAATTCATTTGGAGTCCGTGCGGGGAGAAGTGCTGTCAATATCCAACGGCCAATATTTTGCCTCGGTGAAGGACTAAGTTGCCCTGATAATTTGAGAGCAGTGCGATAGAATTACTTTCTTTTTTTATTTTGGATTAAGAAGAAGAGATGAACCAATTTGCTCATGAGAAGAACTGTACTCTGTAGCTCTGGCTCTTCTTTCATGTCCTGCTCGCGCTTGCCATAGATTTACCCTGTAGTCTTGGCTTATTGATCTCAGACTTGCTCCGGCCTGCTTATTCTCTGTACCTGTGCAAGCCAATCTTGAATTACATCTCAATCAGATACTATGTATGCTCGGCTGTTGCGATTGGGTGCCTCGTCGGATCTATTATGATCAATGGATACGTGCACCTATAAGGTGCCTAGTGCCCTAATACTGTAAATCTCCGTTATACCTGTTCTTCCAACATCTACCTTAACCGCGTGAAGACAAAAAGCCCATGTCATCTTTGAGAATTCCTCAGCACAAACATCTTCAGCGGGAACGACGCAAGAAGAGTCCCCACCTAGCCCCGATGGCGTCAATATCCGGGCCTTGCTGGAGTGGGTTCCATCTCGAGTTTTCGGTGACTAATCACCCGGCTCAAGCTCTCCCACATCCTTCGAGAAAAGCATTCTGAATCGCGAAACAAGCCTCGCCGTTGCCGATCTGTGAGATTAAAAGGAGATTGATTGACGCCAAGAACAAAAGAAGGTTCTTATCTGCCGCCAGGGGTACCGAGTAAAGGAGAACAAAAATCCAAGAAAAAGGAGCCATGGTTCGTTCAGGGTCCCGGTGCTAGCCAGGAGAATGGAGAAGGGGAGGCTGGTTATGCTCACCTGAAAGCTGCAGGTCCACGCCGATGCGTCCAACTTTGCCGAGGGCATCACCAAGGATGATGCCTATGAGCAGGTGCTACTTCAGGCCGAAGGGCTCTTTTACGGTCAGCGCAACTGGGTTCGTCAATCTCCTTTCCTCACCGTCTTATGTGCATGTACCAAGGCTAACATGCGGCTCCTCCGGTGGTGACAGGTTTGGTAAGTGATCTGAGCATCTCACATATGACATGACTTGTGTTGACACGAGGCTTCCAGCAACCTCTCCAACGCGGCCTCACTGCTGTGGCATGCCTACAAGTCCCTTTCTGCCCCGAGCAGCGAAGTAAACTGGGCAGGTAAGTGACAACCCAACCCTTCAACTCCAGCCATGGTGCTTGGAGATGGACACAGATGGAGAGAGGCACGAATGATTTATGCTTATTACGTCGTTTAGGATTCTATGTGCTGGATCCCACAGCCAGTGAGCAGCTCATCTTGGGCCCGTTCCAGGGCAAAGTTGCCTGCCAAACGATCAAGTTCGGAAAGGGTGTTTGTGGCACTGCTGCGGCCACCAAGACTACGCAACTAGTTGAAGACGTGGAGAAGTTTCCCGGCCACATTGCGTGTGATAGCGAGAGCCAGAGCGAGATTGTGGTGCCCATTGTGTCGGGGGACAAGGTCGTTGCCATCATCGACGTCGACTGCGCCGTCCTGAACGGATTCGATGAGACGGACAAGAAGAACCTTGAACAACTTGCCGACCTTTTGTCAAAGAGCTGTGACTGGTAGACAAAATTAATGAAGAGAATAAACTAAGACATGTTTCTGTTACGTCCACACGTATTCTTGGCTTCTTGGCTTCTTGATTGGCGCTTCCACTCATGTAACATGACGTTGTAGTCGGAATTGAGCCTCAATGGATGGACAGATTCAACGTCGTATCGGCCGCGCGGTCGATGTACAACTTGCGTAACTCAGTAGTGGACGGGAATACTGGTCTATACGAGCAAATTTGGCAATCTTGACCTACCCTCCTTACTATTCATCCCACCGATATTTCATCGAGAAATGCGTCTTCCACTTGGAGAGCAAAACTGTAAACAGTAGAGATCCGTCACTTTGCCTACCAAATGTAAATGACACAGTGACCGCCAGTTGAGTATCCGCACTCTGATCATATATGATACGGAGCACACCGTATATTATGCGGTGCGCGGGGAGTCTCCGTTTAGGTAACGAAAAATATATCCAGATCCGCAATCCAGGAAAGCAAATATCGGGCACGAACACAGATGGCAGGGATGTGGGGTTGAAAAATCAAGTTGAGCTCCAAAGAGGCTGCCGGTACCCGCTGCTGACGCCTCCTGAGATGCGCAGCTAGGAGAAAAATGCTGCACCAATTCCACATGTCGCGGGCGCTGAGATTTCTGATTCGATGGCATCATCTGCGGGACGGGATATTTGACGACGTTTGATGGGTGGCAGGGCGACGTCAGCTGCTGGGCTGGGCTTTGGAGGAGGAGCAAGGATCAATGATGTATTTTGGATGAATGGAGGAGGTCAGTAAGTAAGGTTGGAGGTTAGACAGAGAGAGAGAGAAAGTGGGCGAGACAGAAGAGAGGGGATCCATGGCATCAACACCAGACTCAATGTACATGTATCCTGCCCACGGAGATTAATTAACAGCTGAAGAAATCGCTGCAGAAACGCGCGTGGGCAGCAGTAGTGAGACGTCCAATCCAAATGCCATGTGCATTCCGCTCCAGCAATGCAGGGAGCCCGAACTGCGTGTGCCGATCGATCGTCATTTGATTTGATTGATGCACAACTGACTTTGATTCTTGTTCCAGCTCTTCATGGTTGCTGAGCACACGGGCTCCGTTGACAGGGCACCGCCCCTGCTAAATGAGACGCCGGGCGGGGCGGAGGCACAGCTCTCGGGCCACTAGACCGCTGGAAGCAGCCAGTTGAAGCAGCGAGGCCCTTGCAGTAGCCCTCTCCAGCCACCTCGATTTTGGAAACCAGCCACCCAAAGGGCATCATCAAAGGGATCAATGATCGTGGATTTGATCCTTAGCCCAAAGGGCGGGCGGCTTGCTGCAGTCGCTTCGACGCCACGGCCGTATCAAGCAAGACGTGCAGCACCTGCTGGACCAGCCCTGAAACATGGACGCAGCCGTAGCTGTAGATGTCCGGGGGGCTGCCCTGTAGATGTAGGTGTAGGTGGTGCAAAGCAGATTGATGCACCGCTGCAGCCTCAACTCAACCCGACTGCATTGAGCACTCGCAACAGCGCTGTAGCCGCTGAAAGAGCCCGCTGGAAAAGCCGTCGCTGCTGCTCCCTGGAAGGGCGGGTGCATCTTGCAGTTGGCGCTCCGGCCAAAGCGGTGCTGTCGCAGCATCCGTGCTCCCTTTGCTGCGGGACGCCAAAAAACAACCTGAGCCTGTATCCATCCATATCTCTCCGGCTACGGCACACACCCTCTTTTCTCTTCTCTTTTTAACCTCTGCATTGCCGTGGGCATGCTGAGCAACCACCTCGGCCAAACTTTTTTATTTTTTTTTATTTCCCTCATCCATCTCTTATACTTATTGTTAGGTTTGATCCGTCGTCATCACGGCACTTATCTGGCACAGCCTTCTGAAAGCTTAATGGTGGCGCCCAATTACGTGGGCCGCTGATCGCCATACCGCTAGCATACCTCGAGTGCCGCCGATGTAAACAAATAACATTGATTTAGAATTTGAATCATGGAAGCCTCCAACTTCTTGCCTTCCAAAAATACTCGAAGCAGCGCTCTTGCGAGCCTCTTCCAACCTACCATGGCCATGTCCACCGCGTCCAAGTCCTTTGCTATCAACGGCCCGCACACGGCAGGCCTCTTTGCAGACATGAGCGTTGACGGCCCCATCATCGGCACTCTCGTTGCGATTGTCGATCGCGCGAAGAACTTGCCCAACCGCAAGACCATTGGCAAGCAGGATCCTTATTGCGCGGCGAGACTGGGAAAAGAAGCCAAGAAGACGGCGACAGATGTCAGAGGCGGCCAGACGCCCAAGTGGTAAGTTGTTCCACTTTCCATCCTATCCCGCCTTGCATCTTGGTGGTGAGACAGTTTGGGAGCCGCGACTGACCTGAGCCGTCCGTGTTTCTGCAGGGACCAAGAGCTCCGGTTTACGGTGCACGACTCGGCCGACTACTATCAACTCAAAGTCTCCGTCTTCACCGACGATAAGAAAACAGACCTCATCGGAGAGTCGTGGATCGACCTCAAGGGCATCATTATTCCTGGAGGCGGCCAGAACGATGTGTGGCAGACCCTGACCTGTCGCGGCAAGTATGCGGGGGAAATCCGACTCGAAATCACCTTCTATGACAGCCGGCCCAAGCCCGACAAGCCTGCCGCCAGACCGAGACAGTCCATGGGCGGCGAGCTGGAGAACACATCGCCTAAGCGCAAGGAAATGGTCAAGAGACGTCCCCTACCCACCGATCCCGTCACCGGCGAGGTCACTGCGACCCCCTCAGACTATCACCAATCGCCTTCTCGGCCTCAGGGCAAGCCCATCTCGCACTCACCGTATGGCTCTACCAACTCTCTCGGCGAAACTGCCGAGTATGGCACTCCACCGCAGGGAAGCACTCGATCCCGCCATGCAGACTACTTTTCTTCACACTCACCTAGCGCCCAAAGCCATGGCTCCGGTCGTGTTGAGGGACCTCGCCAGCCACGCCCGACACGGCAGGACTCGTACGAGAGAGAGCGAGGCTATAGCCAAAAGATACCCGTGACGTCCTCCTATGAGCAGCATGACCCTCGAGGTAGCAGCTATTCGCTTGCAGGAGAAACGTATGATATGAACCCCACAGATGATGCTGCGCAGTATTCTCCTCACGGAGGCCCCCGACAGGCGGCTCCTCCTCCACCCGCCCACCGATCACGGCATAGCACTAGCCAGGAGGGTCTGCAACGGAGAAATGAATCACCTCAGAGGGCCGTTCCGCCTGCATCCATGAGATCTGATGTTTTGAAGAATGAGGCTCATAGAAACACCACGCCAACCTACCCTGGCCGCCCACAGTTCCGGCCCTATGACCCGAGCCTAACAGCTCAGCCCCCCATTCAGAAAGCCATTGCATATGAGCCGCACAACTCTTACGATGCCTATGATGCCCAATATCGTTCCATGCAACCCACCGTAGAGGACGTCCCGGAATCGCCTCCAGGCTCTATGCGGAACAGGCCTCGCCGAAGTATCCCTGGGCTGGATGAGATTGTGTATGACGCTGGCCAGATGCCCATGTCAAATGGCCTCAGTCGTTCCCCAGGAGCATCTGCTGGTTTTCTAAGCCAATCCCCGGGAGCTTATCCGACATATCAGGAGCAGCCCAGGAATCAAAATTCTGTCTCCCCTCTGTCGGCGAGAGATTACACTGAAAGTCCAGGACAGATGACGCAGTATTCTTACAGCAGCCAAAGCCAGCGCCCTAATCAACAGCGCGAGCACGAGACCACCTACATCCAGAGTTCTCCGAGCTACGGACTCCCCGCGTTGCCGCCGTCTCTGGCTCCTGGAGTAGACCCCAACATGGTTCAAGAGATATCCGACAGGGCATACGAAGAAAGGCATTATGATCGATACAATAACCACAACAATCAAATTGTAAGCACCTCTCTTCGAGACCGCCATAGGAGCGAGCCGCCGCCACCTTCTCATGAGCCAGCCTTTGGCACCTCGCCGCAGGCCTACGAATCATACGACAGACCAAGATCGGGTACCTATGGCGGTGGACCTGACCCGCATGCGCAGGGATATCGAAATGCTTCCCCTAATCCCCGAGATGCTTCCCCTAATCCCCAGCATAGGATTCGGCGCAAGTCGGTCAGCCCTGCACCTCGTTCTTCGGACAATAGGAGGCACTCAGACATTCCGTTCAGTCCAGACTCCTACGAAGCGTTTAACCCTAGAGTGTCTTCTAGGGATGGATCACCTGGGCTCGATCCGTCAGATTCGCCTTCCAAGATTGTGACACACGATGGTCGAGAAATTGACCCATCTGATCATCTACCCGAAGAGTCTTGGGCTCCTGAGCCTGAGACCAAACCTTCTCCTCAAGAGCCTGCGCAGTCTCGAACCAGACCGCCCTTGTCTGGAGCGCAGCCGATGCCCCCGAGCGGCCGGAGACCCCTCCGAATCAGCATGGCGAGAACCTCGCAGGCGGTGGTGCCGTCCAACGCCTACGGCTACTCAGAAGGACCGCGTGCTCCCCCTCCCCCGGCTCAAGGTGGGCGACAGCGTCTGCAAAAGAAGACCCGTCATTCTATGGGACCGACAACGTCGGCTCCAAACCCAGGCAACTTCCAATACAGCTCAACTCGTTCACGCGCTGGCGCGTGGGATTACCCAAACGACAACTACACGCCTCAGTATAACGGCGGTCACCAAGGACCTCCTATTCCAGCCAAAGTGCCACTCCCCATCATGAGCGGCGCCAATGGAGGGGCGGAAGATATGGCTCTGATTCAGGAAATGTCAACAATTGACATTGGCACAGGGCGTTCCAGACGGCGAGGAGGATTTTGAAACTTTTTGATTTAGTGTTTGCCTTGTACGAATATTCAATGAGGTTACATAAACCGGTATCGGGAAGGATAAGGAGCGGCGTCTTTGGAATTTGGAACGATTTGCGATGCGTGAATCCTTTTTTTTCATTCCTTTTCACTTCTTTATGAATACTAAGATCGGCTTCAGATATGACGTGATGTATTAGTATAGTTAGAAAACGAGTCAATTGAATAGTGCGGAAAATATCTTTGTGTATATATGTGATGTTATTCTTTCTCATGGACATTTCTTGTCAATTTATGGATGCAGTAGTAGACAATGCGATCCGTCCCCAATTGCGCTAGTCTGCATGTGGAATAGTAGTGCCGCCCCGCGAAAGGTACAGTTCCGCCTAAGATAAGATAAGCAAAAAAAATATCCAATGCATGGCTGTTTGGAGAGGTGATCCTTTCTCACATCTTGGAAGGGCAAAAAAATATCAACCACCAAGACACCACTCGTTCAGCCCAAACACATCGATCTCGAAAAGCTGTCATCGTATTAAATCAGCCGGTCGGAGTGAAACAATACAATGGCGACACAAGCGACACCCTTGCCAAGGGTGAAGCTGGCATCTGGTCCCGCGCCTTTGACAGCTGAGCAGAGATATTGGAAGGCGTTCAAGAACCAACTTTTGATACCGTCGCCGACCAATTTCCCAATCACTCACGTCTCGAACAGCAACGATAGCTTTGCCGTGACGACAGGCACGCGCGTCCAGATCTACTCGAGTCGTACCCGCAAGCTGCTCAAGACAATCACACGCTTTGGAGATGTGGCGCGGAGCGGAGAGATTCGCCGGGACGGCCGCGTGCTGGTGGCCGGAGACGATACGGGCAGGATACAGGTGTTTGATGTGAACTCGAGGGCTATCTTGAGGACGTGGCTGGAGCACAAGCAGCCCGTGTGGACGACGAGATTCTCGCCTGTGGAGCTTACTACGGTGCTGAGCACGAGCGACGACAAGACGGTCAGGCTGTGGGATTTGCCCAGCAGCGAGCCTACGAGTACGTTTGTGGGACACTCGGATTACGTGCGAACCGGAAGCTTCATGCCGGGAACCATGGCCAATATGGTGGTGTCTGGAAGTTACGATTCGACAGTCAAGCTCTGGGATCCGCGAACAGGGAACAATGCTGCGGTCATGACATTCAAGCACGCTGCCCCCGTCGAGAGCGTCCTTCCTCTGCCGACGGGAACGACTGTCCTAGCTGCTGCTGGTAGCGCCGTCAGCGTACTCGATCTCGTTGCCGCACGACCGCTACATCTCATCACCAATCATCAAAAGACAGTCACCTCGATGAGCCTGGCCTCTGGCGGCCGCCGCCTTGTCACCGGTAGCTTGGAAGGCCATGTCAAGATGTTTGAGACGACCGGGTGGAACGTTGTCAACAGCTTCAAATACCAAGCCCCTATTCTTTCCGTTTGCGTCATCCCTTCAGGCGACACTTCTGATGCTGGCGACCGCCATCTCGCTGTCGGCATGCAGTCTGGTGTTCTTAGCATCCGCACACGACTTACCGCCGCCGAGGCCACACGCGAGCGCGAGCGTGAAAAGGAAATGGATGCCCTCGTTGCTGGAACTATCGATTCCCTTGATGCGAAGAAGCAGAAGCGCAAGCGCCGCATCGAAGCCACCAAGCGCCTCGATCTCCTCGGCGAAGGCGCCGACGTTGTCATTGCTAATGAAGGTCGCGTTCACAAGAAGAAGGAGAGACCATGGCAGTCAGACCTCCGACACGCTCGCTATGCCAAAGCTCTCGACCAAGTTATTGACCGTTCATCACCCGAGTACGCACCCCTCAACGTCCTTACCTTGCTGCTTGCGCTTCGCCATCGCAGCGCTATACGGGATGCGCTGGAGAACCGCGATGAGCAGAGCGTGCAGCCCGTTCTGAAGTGGGTATGCGGACACATCTGCGACCCCCGCTACGTGAGCATCTGCGTGGAAGTTGGAATCCACTTGTTGGATCTGTATGCCGAATACGTTGGTGCTTCAGCAGAGCTACATCAGGGATTCAAGACTTTGCACAGGAGAGTCAAGCTCGAGGTTGAGAGGGCGCAGATAGCTTGCCAGAGCGGAGGTATGCTGGAGAGCTTGATGATGGGGGCGATATAAAAGGGAAAGGGAAGGGATGCAAGCAACATTAGAGTGCAGAGCTTCCCTTGGGGCGTATTACATGAGGGGAGGAAAAGGAGGCGGGGAGCATTTGGTATAGTTTGGCGTTTTGGCGGCATCATTCAAGGCTACGAATGTCTCGTTCGTATAAAAACTTGGGAATTCGATTGTGTATTTTTTGTCTATCTGATTCGAGATAAGTAATACAATGTAAAAAGATTCAGTACATCTATGTTGACGAGTTGTGTGCTTGGTTATGGGAAGGCGGTCACTCCAGCCAGGAACAGCATGGATGAATGCTTCCTGGTACTTGGAGTAGCATTGCTTTCTCCTCCTCCTCCTCCTCCTCCTTCTTTCTTATCTTTTTTTCTTTTCACTCCAGATGATCTTTTGGTCCACAAAACGGAGAATATTGAACCTGCTGTAGTGTCAAGCTCTCATCATATGCAAGCCAAGGTGTACTCCAGTTTATAGATCCCGGCTAATATGCCCATATATGCCCACCATTCGCACGAGAGGGTTACATGCAATATATACCTACATGTATTAATTTGTCTTTCCATTCTGGCAAATATTCAAGTTTACAGCAACCTTCCTCTTCAGTTGAGTACATCTGAAGTGACTACATGGAGAATACGAACGGAGTGAACCATGTGTATAAGAGTCATACCCGTCGTCTGCAGATCACTTTGGCATATGCCTGCCATTCAGATCAGGGCGACTGCATCTACTTGTCATTAATTTGTCTTTAAATCAGACGTATATTTAAGTTTATTGCAACCTTCCTCTTTAGTTCTATACAGCTGCAGAGACTACGGAGTATAAAAGCAGAGTCTATCTCTCTTTTAGGCTACAGCAGCAGGCATTTGACATTCCTATTCCTCAAAGACATACTCAAAAGGCCCACAAGGACACTCTCTTCGTGATGAAGGCCGTGGCAGCTATTCCAGCCCTTTTGGCGGCCCTCTCTATTGCTAGCCCCTTGCAAGCCCGCCAGTTACCGGATCACTTTGACATAAATGGCTTTCTTGTACAATGCCAGACCTTTACCTGCTGGTACGCCGCCTCCCACTTACAGAGATAACGACTACAGTCCTGTAATATTTACTAAACTTATTATTGATATTCTAGGGTAGAGTTTGGCGTGTCTCTCCCTGATAGGTCCGGAGGCTGCGTTGTTACTTTCCCGGGCATCAGTGAAGGTATACCAGATACGCCGCAACGGTCCGTGTGCGACCAACCCGATATCGGTTATGAAGTGATTATGCACGATCAAGGCTTTGGGGGAATCGATTTCTCGGTTAACTGGAATTATGCGTCTGGCAAATATCTCGTGGGCAATCATTCCATCCCTGGAAGCCAGTGGCAGGCGTTTGCCGATGGCGCGGCGACTCTATACGCCTACACGGGTCCATCAGACTTTTCTATTACCGACTTACAGGAAGCTTCGAGTATCTGAAACGCGGAAGATCCTATATCAGATAGACCGGTACTATTTGTGAGTCGTGGGAGGGGAATTTCAACAGCATTGGCCAGTCGATGTACATTTACGTCGTTATGATTACATGCTTGTGTTTTTACTCGTGATATGTGCTCGTAGAGACAAGGTGTTAGTCGAGTGTCTGATGTTAATAGGTATATATATTTGATATATCTATCTCAAAGTAGGTCATGTGATGCCATCTTGGGTGAAGCAAGAATGGCATAAATCAGCTACCAATGGGCTTATGTGATAATCCCCTTGCATTCGATTCATACCAAACTTTGTCGATAGGCCTCTTGCATGGGATGGAAGCAAGGCATCAATGAAACTAATCCTGTGTCATTAAGTTAGAGATAGCTATATTCTTCCAGTATCTGCTATAATAAGGGTACATGCATCTAACTATACGGTTTTCCTTTGCTTCCAGCTTCAATGATCCAACTTCACGCAGTCGCTTGAGGTGCTCAGTAGGAATTCTATTGTTTTAGCTCTGCATATCAAGCTGCGAGGCTGGAGGCATATCGCATCCACAGTTCCATCCAATGTTGTCAACCGGCAGACAGCTGTCAACCGCCTATAGGCCGCCTGTAGGCCTCCCACAGGTGGTGACTCGACCACACAGCACTGGAAGCCCAAGCCCAATTCACTTGCACATATTTATTGACCCGACTTCTTTCCAAAACATTCTCGATGAACAAAGATTTCTTCTTCACTTCTGGTCAAGTTATCCGCCCTCCACACTTGACAAATAACCCATCTCCAGACTGTCTCCCGATAAAATCTACACACTCGATATATTATCACCAGCATCAATTTGAAGCACCTCTAGATTTCCTCCAAGGCCTCACAGCGGTAACGCGAGTCTTTGCCATGGCGCCCAAAACGTCAGAGCAGATGCTTCGTTTGTGGTATGCCAAACAATGGGCTCCCACAGTTGATCTGATTGGCGACATTGCCGGCAAAGAGCCATTCATTATTCATGGCGAGTCCCTGATTCGACACTGTCTTGAAGAATCGCCTGCCGACTTTCAAGGTATGATGAAGAGATAACCCTAGGTGTCTATCGTAGCAGCCACCTAACAGCCAGCAGATGGATTTCAGTTATTGCACGCCGTATACTTCGTTGAAAGATTCCTTAGCAATCTTCAAAAGAGAGGCTGCGACTTTGATATTGTCTTCTTCCGCGATTTAAGAGATGTCTGCGTTCCGTACCTCTCTGGCTTCGAGTACAAATATCAGTACGCAAGAACAGTCATCATCAAGCATCTCCAGAGGCATACTATGGAATGTGCAAAGAAGACTGGCGCTCGATCATCAGTTTTAGAGTTCAATTCCTTTTCCAGTAAAGAGTTTCACGATTACCTGAAGGAGTTGCCGATTCATTTTGTTCTATGTCACGACGGGGTTGAATCAGAAGACGTCAAAGATACCACCATATTGCGGTTTTTTATCCGTCGTCTGATCTCTATGGGCAAAAATGTAGCCATCGTTAACTCTCTTAATTGGAAGAGTTCAAAGGTAACATATGTAGCTTTGTTTGTTTGTGTGAAGATCTAAAACTGACACTGCATCCTCTCTAGGCATATGCACCGTTGCTAAGCAAGTCGCCCGTTCGACTGCCACGATTGCCCATCTCACCGGAATTTGACTCGCCGTTTATTTCACTATATGGTCAAAATTATGAGTGTAGACCTATGTTGGTTGAGCCCCAAGATCTCACTATTCGAGAGCGCCTAGGTATCACCGCCTGTTTATCCCTAGTTGGAGCGCCAAAGGGCAATTTGACGGATCATGATAGTCTGCAGGAAAGAGTACAGGCGTTTCTTCTTCATCTCGCAGTCCTCAAGCACTGCACCCTACTTGAACGTCAGCATTGGGTTGGACCCCAGCGTTGCCATCTACACCCTGAGGACCGAGAGTTCTTGCGTCATATCATTGAACTGTCATTGATGTTGTTGGAAAAAGATGATTGGATAACCAGCATGGATATTTCTGAAAATGACTGGGATCTGTATGATTCCATTGATGGATCTTTGTTCCATTTCATGCTCGAGTCTCTCCGCTCTAGTCAGTGGCTTCCCAGCCAAATCATCCAGTCGTGGCAACGGCTTTGGTCAGCTTTTCGCGCAGGAACGGATGCGGATTTTGTAGAGCATCTCCCGCAACTTACTATTACTTCGGAGGAGAACCTTCAAGGAGAGTTTAATGGCTTGCAAGTCTCGGCTTTGCCTTTTAGCCATCCTGTGCTTGACACCTTTCTCAAGGACATCAAGCTGAATGAGAGTCAGGAAGTACAAGACGCGTCCTCTCACTCCGTCTTTGAGGATCTACACCATTGGCATAACACCAAGCTGCTAATACCTCAGAGAAAGATCCAAAAGCTCGGCTTTTTCGCGAGAAAGAGAAAGCAAGAGCGTCTTGCTAGCGTTGTAGCATATTCGGCGAGTCTCACTAACGCCAGAGGCAAACTCATTAACCCTGAGATTGTCGTCGTAAAGAAGACTGTTGCTGTGCATAACTTCAAGAATAAGGGGCCCCAGAAAGAGAATGGCAGTCTTCAATCTCAATCGAAATCCAAGAAACCGGGTCGCCAAGGAAACAAGCCGGGTGGCAGAGAGAGTGCACTACGAGCGGCCCAGGAGGTTCAGGAGCAAAAAGCATTAACTAGGTGAGACAACGCAATCACCCTTTGGACCGCTACATGCCAAGATATTGAAAAGGATCCTTCTGTTTTATCTCGGTACCTCAAGACTATCAAGTTCTTAAACGAACGATCCAAGGATGACAATGTTGCGCTGGGATCCGAGATCCACCTTTACCTGTGCCATCTTCTTGGGCAGTTATGGGCAAAAGCACAGGCAGCTAATAAAATATCCCCTAGTTCCGGTAAGAAAGAGTGATCACATTCCCAAAATTGGATAATAGCACACTGACACCCGATGTTCGCAGGGGTTTACCTCATCGCACTTATGTGGAAATGGCTTCAGGAGCTTCCGGCCATTGGGGCATCCAAGGCAGTAGCCAAAGCAGTTGAGAAACTGACATCTTGCCTCAAGATTCCAAACCTCGTGGTTAATGTTGGAGACCAGACGCAAAAGATGTCGTTCAAATTTGACTATGGTTCTTTCAAGAACATGAAGAGTTCCACGCTAAACTTTCGACAAATGCAACCTCGAATTTGCGGCGCCCTATATGGATCGACGATTCGACTCTCGGCAGGATAATCGGGTGCCATTCAACCCAGATGCTTGGCAGATTAAGGTTCTCGATTCAATTGATGCCAATAACAGTCTCCTTGTCATTGCTCCAACCTCTGCGGGTAAAACGTTCATTTCATTCTACGCTATGAAGAAAGTACTCGAGGAAAGCGATGACGGAGTTTTGGTATATGTTGCTCCGACCAAGGCTCTGGTAAACCAGATAGCCGCCGAAATTGGCGCTCGCTTCACCAAAACATATAATAAGCAGGGCAAGTCTGTTTGGGCAATATACACTCGGGACTACCGAGTCCAAAGCCCAACTGGATGCCAAATACTTGTCACCGTACCCCATATGCTGCAGATCCTCTTGCTTGCACCGACAAACGCCAAAGGCCCAAATGCATGGTCACAACGTATCAAGAGGATCATATTCGACGAAGTTCATTGTATTGGCCAGGATGAAGATGGTGTGATTTGGGAACAGCTGCTTCTATCTGCTCCATGTCCCGTCATCGCGCTCTCAGCAACCATTGGAAACCCCGAGCCTTTTCGGGAGTGGCTTTCACAAGTTCAGAAAAGCAAAGGATTGAAACTAGATACGGTAGTGCACACGGCTCGCTATTCGGATCTTCGAAAATTCATTTACATGCCTCAAGAACACGAACCATTTCACGGACTTCGACGCAACAAGACACTTCCCGTTCCTGGATTAGACGAAGGTGACAAGCCTTGTCCCGATTTCCAATTCATCCACCCAGTAGTGGCTCTAACTGATAGGTACGTATGCCACCCGATGATATTGGTTCGCAGCTAACACTTTCTAGGGCTCGCACGGCGCTTGAGGATCTCTCTCTGGAGGCGAGAGATTGTCTACGCCTTTGGGAAAGCATGAAGAAGATTCTCTCAGAGGAAGAGCTTGTCAAATTTGGTGTCCAAGATCCCTCTACCATCCTCCCAGAGACAATATCAAAGTCGGATGTTCTTCGGTGGGAGGCAGAGCTCAAACAATCACTCCGACGCATCATAGAGAGCCAAGGCTCTGCGTTTCAGAAAATCAGGAAGCTTTTGCAGTTACGTTCAAACCAAGAGATCCTTCCTGACGAGTTTACTCGTGACTTGAAAAGCATATTTCATCTAGTCGTCGGTTTGCATAGGCAAGATGCTCTGCCTGCTCTGGTGTTTCACTATGACACTCAAGGCTGTGAGAAGGTTGCGAAGCTTATATGCCTGATGCTTCTTGAGTCTGAGAAAGAGTGGAAAGAAAATTCAGCCGAATGGGCTCAGAAAATTAAAGACTACGAGGCTTGGAAGAGGTCTGAGGCCAGCCAACAGAGTCGAAGGGTCGTTCAACGGAACAGAGGCGAAGGAAGCGATTCCAGAATGTCAAAGCAAGAGCAGTTACGCGAAGAGGCAAATATCGAGACAAGTGCTTGGGCGAGTTTCAACCCAAATGCTCCGCTGGAACGATTCAGTTTCGCAGATACGACGAAGATGCAAGCATTGGAGGCGAATGAAATGATTCGCCCTCTACGAGGAGCGGTTGATGTTTTGCTGCTAGCAGCTCTCCAACGCGGCGTTGGAGTGCACCACTCCGGTCTGAACCGAGAATACCGTCAAGTGTGAGTAATTTTTATTGAGAGTAAATATGACCAACATACTAACGACTCTGTGAATAGGGTTGAGGTTATGTTCCGTAAAGGGTATTTGAGGGTGGTTGTTGCCACTGGTACACTGGCCCTCGGTATCAATATGCCCTGCAAAACGGTCATATTCCACGAAGATTCAGTGTTTCTCACTGCCCAGAACTTCAGACAAGCTTCAGGACGTGCTGGACGTCGAGGATTTGATCTTCTCGGGAACATTGTGTTCAATCAGATCCCACGAGAACGCGTGTACGAAATCATGTCGGCGCGGCTGCCCGGCCTCAATGGACAGTTTCCGATATCCACTACCCTTGTCCTCAGGCTATTCTCGCTACTTCATGGATCTGAAAACTGCCAATTTGCAGTCACCATGGTGCAGTCGTTGCTTTCGCAAACGCGTCTCTACCTGGGTGGACCAGAATCGGAGATGTCCATTAAGCATCACGTTCGGTTTTCCATTGAATACCTCAGAAGGCAGAACTTGCTTTCTGCTACTGGTGTGCCTATTAATTTTGCCAGCATTATAGGCCACTTATACTTTATGGAGAATGCAGTGTTTGCTTTTCACTCCCTACTGAGGGGCGGGTATTTCCATCAGCTCTGCTCAGATATCTATAAAAGTCCAGAGCGAGTATTACTGGAGATGATGCTGGTGCTTTCACATTTGTTTGTCCGAATACCTGTCAAGGAGAATGAGAAATTGGTTGAAATAGCCAAAACCTCGTCTTCTGTCATCTTCCTTCCGCCTCTCCCGCAGGAAGCGGAAAGCCTGCTCATACGACATAACAAGGAGACTCTTTCCATCTTCAAGAGATATGTCCAGTCGTATGTCAATCATAACTTGACGAATAAGAGGGATCGGTCGTTGCCGTTTACCCAAACGGTCGTTGGTCAGGAAAACCCCATCCATTGGGCCGCTGCGGACTCGAGCGCTGCTGGCATGGTGCGATCCCCTTTCGTTGCCTTGTCTGGGAAAACGGACGACTTCAAGACAATTCACGAACTATGTCAGACGGCGCGCGGAGATGTCTTTTTGGAGGAATCGGCCATTCCATCGATACCAATCTGGCCACACGATACCAACGTGAGATTCAACGCATATTTGTACGATTATTACAAGCACGGCAGCATGCATGTCCTTGCGAGAGACAACGGAATCCGACGCGGAGACGTGTGGTTTCACCTTAAAGAGTTCTCTCGCACTTTGTCTACCATCATTAGCAGTCTAACTATCCTTATGGACGCCAAAGATCTGGACGCGGAAGAGGAGTTTGAAAGCTTCGAAAACGAGGCCGAAACCACAGCCAGTGGATCTGAAGATGGCAGTGATGAAGAGGCAGCTTCATCCGCAACTAGTCTAGATGGTTGGGATGATGGCGAAGATATCCCTACCGGGGGACAGAAAAAGGGCAAAGGCTTACACCGAGTGTTGTATGCATTCATTCGATTGAGGGAGGAGTTTGATGGCAAGTTCCACCGAGAGTGGGCGTAAGGAGGATTATTTGGCTTGGTTTGAGAAGATGTGTTGCACAATTTTTGGACGGAGATGTGGTATTGAGGGATGTGTGGCCTGTTAGGTACTATGTTACGATCTTTGTAGTCTGTGAATCATGCTGTGAGCTGAATGAAGATCAAGTCGTTGAAAACTAAAATGTATTTGTTCTTTGTCGGCCGCCTATCAATCATCTAGCAGACACCTGTACCACGAGTTGACGACGGTCAGCGCAGGCTGCTACTATATCCTAATTCCCACGAATTCTAGGTGAGCGGAACTAATATCGCTATTATAATCATCCTGGCTAAGACTTTTCTCCCTGAAGAAAAAAGAAACCTGGGCCTGCTTGGCATCCTCCTTCCCCGCAGTCAGGCGCCTGCGGCGCCCAGCTCAGGTAAAACAAAAACAAGCGTTCACAACAGAGCATCCACAACAAAGCATCCAGAAGTAGGCCAGCGACATGAGTTGGCTTCCACCTTCTGGGATGGTACGCGGGAATGTCATCGATCACCCAGAACGAAACCACTAGACACGCAAGTATTAGAAAAAAAAAAAAAAAAAACAGAAATAGTGGGCATACATAGATAGGCAGGTACCTTATATAGATCACGCACCGTCTCTCTATCAATCTTACACTGCAGTTTACTTTACTTTACTTAGTCAATCTAAGCTTCTTACATCCTCTTCGTGGCCTACCAACTGGTAGCAATTGGCAGACATCGATCTGTGGCCCATTGCCATTGCTTTTATTTCCCTTAATCGCCTACTTCCAAACGATTCGTTCGTTTATTGAGTCACCTTTGAGACCCCTTCTTTTCTTCTTTTCCTTTGTCAAGAATTTTACGCGGCGTCGACAGAGGCATGGTGTCCGATCAGCTCCAAATATAGCGATAGTAGTAGATAGTAGAGAAATGTTCAGAGGTAGTAATAGCACCAGGCATTAAGAAAAATAGGTATGGTACCTATAATAGCAGTAAAAGGTCTATAGTAATAGTAGCGGAAACATAGAGTCGGATATTCACTACTTTATTAGGTAGGTAAGCAAGTAAATAAAAGTTTGCTTTGCATCTTGTTTTGACCTTTGAACCTCACACAGTCGTTGGGGTGTTGGACAGCCAATCTGGCGTGCTGGCTAGGTCGTGTTTCTCTCGAATAATTCTCGAAACCTCGCTGATGGTGTAATTCCGGTCGTCATCTCTCTTGCGTCCTTTCACATTCTCCATCCATCTCTCTACGATGGTGTGCTTCGCTGCCAAGGATTTTCCGTCGGCAATTAGTCACGCCTTGAAGCCAACAAAGAGCCGACAAAGAAGAAAACCTGGAACTTGCAGCTCAATCAATTAATTCATAACAGCCCATCATTTTTTAGGCTCAGGCCCAATGCTTTTCTGCCAATGCAACCATCCATGACCGCGATCAGCACCAACGAATGACAATCGGCCTCTAGCCAGTTATGACGCAATCGACTTTACAGGCTACATGTAGTTACCCAATCCAGCAATCACGACACCATACAGGCATACAATGTGCTGTGCCTAGAAAATCATTCGACAATGCTCCAAGGCCATTCACGCATTGTCTAGGCACACGTCGATTGTTTAGGCTCTATGCTACTCTACTGTGAGATAGCGTCTATGCGCTGAAATACGAATCAATCACAAGAAGCACCGATGATTCGCTTAACGGCGGCTGCCCGTGTTTGGGCAAGCGATGCCGCAGGGACAAACCACGTTTTTTGCCCGAACCGGACCTCCCAATGACGGAAGACGCAAACAAGACTTTTTGGGGATGAGCATGTCGTATGTCTTGCCGTTTCAAAGGGGTCATGTGTGCCAGGTATGACGATGAAGCCCAAAGTTGGTGTTGCAGATCAACAGTCGTGGGCAGTCGCTGCCCATTCACGAATGAATAAATCCAGCTGCTCTGTCCCTCCAGACAGACAAGTCTGGCAAGCAGCCTCTCATCATTCATCGCTCAGATAAACTGGCATCATCATCTCGCCCCCCTCCCATCACACTTGACTGCATCTATTAAAGCAGTTCGCCTGCCCACCCAAAGCATTTGTATAACACATCGCCACCAGGCACGCAACACCAAGGGAATCATCAACCAGTCAATTCACCAACAATGGCGCTCGATCGCATCGTCAGCATCGTCCTGCGGGCCGCAGAGCTCGTCTTCGCTACCATCGTCGCCGGTGTGACGGGCCAACACCTTCACCAATACCGCGATGCATCATCCTGGTCTCAGGGCCGTTTCATTTACACCGAGGTGGTGGCGGCCCTGTCCATGTTCTTTGCGCTGATATGGCTCGTACCCTTCTCTTGGTCCTTTGTGCATTGGCCAGTGGATATCATCCTCAGCCTTGCCTGGTGGGCTGCCTTTGGCCTCTTGGTCAACGTAAGTGACACCCATATACTATACATGCATTCTGTCTCCCCTTTCGATCGCATTGATGTTGACTTTTTCGTCGTTTAGTTGCTGGGTAACTCTTGTGGCTACATCTTCGACTGGAACAATGTCCACCCCATCAATGGTGACCAGTGTGGCAAGTTCAAGGCCGACATTGCCTTTACCTTCCTTTCAGCTCTCCTTTGGCTCGTTTCCGCCCTGCTTGGCATCTTCTGGGTTCAAAGCCATGAGCGTCGTGCTGCCCGAGTCGATGCTGCCCACCGCCAGCACCACCGCCGCTGGTACCGACGAAGCCGCGTCTAAGTGCTATCACGGTGTTAGCATCTGCGAACTGCCATAGGCGGTACACGATCATTCATGATACCCCAAATACCCTTGATTTTGTAATTTCCTTCGTCGTCTATGCTTCAAATTGATCTGAAAAAAGGAGGCTGGGGTCGAGTTGGATGAGAGGAGGGTTCGAGAGAAAAATCGCTTGGGAATAATGTTTTACTGCTTCTGTCTTTCCCATAATACCCGTTTCCCCTAATGACTTTATAACGACTATACCCAGCTAAGCTAGTACTTACTTAATTAATATTCTTTTGTCTTTCTTTACCACTCAAGGCACGCATCTGCTTGTTACTATCATGCTTATCTGATTTACATCTCCTGAACTTGGAGAGAACTAATGGCCGACATGGCGCGCCGTCTCTAACCTGATTCTGGTTCTTGTGATATACTGTAAAAGAGAGTTTCAACCAAGGATTCTTTTTTGGTAATGAAATTCCAGTTTGTTTTGTGCTACTGTATAATACAAGTTTCCTGTATATGCCACGCTTGTAAAACCTTTGGTCCACCGACGCCATAACGTGGAGTTTCGCGCAGCATAAGCTTCTATCCAGAGGAGCCCCCCCAGTGTAGATCCTCCCGTCATCGTCACTCCGCAAACTTGCTGAGCCACAGGCAACATTCCACCAATCCAACAGGTTTAATTCATACTTCTCAAAAACCAAGTCTTGTGCTCCAGCCTCAGAGTGATCCTCACCAGCCACAGCTAGACTGATGATGCAACGATGATTGTTGCAAGCCGCCACTCTTTGAGCCCCACCAACACAGCTTGGCCCCACCGATGCGGTCATCGATAACTCAATCCAACCTCAAGACATTCTTTGCATCACCATCACATCGTCCAACCGCAAGCAAAATCGTACGCTAACTTGCTTTTCGTGCATTACCTGACAAGCCTGAGTTACCTAAGCCTGTCAAGTTTACCTAAGTCGAATGATCTCCAGGGAAAAAAGTGGAATGAGGATGCGGCGCAAACACTCCGGATGGAGAGGTTTCTGACATCTGGGCCGCTCCAACGTCACCACACCCCAGATATGACGGGTTGTATATGGAGATGCGAACGGGCGTTACCTCATACCTATGCAGAAGAGGAGCGATGAGATCTGTGGCTGCTCTGGTAAGTTGGTAAGGTTACGAAGTAAGAAGTATCCCGTAGACAGATCGGGAAAGCTTCAGAGTTGAGCGCCATCGGTAGAGGTTACCGTGTGAGCCACAATGTCATCATAGCCAGCGATCAGTTGTTTGCAGGATGATCGTTCAGATGAGAACTATATAGTTATGATGTTCCTCCGTACTTCCCGTTCTTCCATCAGATCATTCTATCATCTTACTTTAACAATCACACAACAAAACTTACACACATACACTTTACACATCTTTAAAATACCATCACCATGTCTTCTCTCATCAACAAGGTCAAGGACAAGCTCCACTCCGACAACAAGACAGAGCAGCCTGAAGGCACTCATGGACCTCACAGCTCCCGAACCGGCAATGCCGCCGACCCTCGCGTCGACTCTGACCGCGATCACCGCGAGAACCTAGGACGTCATGATGGCTCTTACACCACTGGCGGAGACAACTACTCTTATGGCGGTGATACCACCACCTCCTCAGGCGTGACTGGATCTTCAGGCATGACTGGCACTGGAGGAACTTTCGACTCCAGCAAGGGCTCTACTGGCTTTGGCTCTACTGGCTTTGGCTCTACTGCCGCCACTGGCCCTGCCTCCAAGACTGCCGGCATGCACAGCTCCAACGTGGCCAACAAGGCCGATCCCAGAGTAGACTCTGATCTCGACGCCAGCCGCAACATGGGCCTCCGCTCCGGCGGTGCCACTGCTGGAACTGACACATATGGAAGCTCCAACACGCAATCGGAAACCACTGGCTTTGGCACCAGCACCGGCCCTGCCTCCAAGACTGCTGGAACTCACAAGTCCGACATGCTGAACAAGGCCGACCCAAGAGTCGACTCTGACCTCGATGGCAGCCGTAACATGGGCCTCAAATCCCACGGCGCTACCTACGATGCTCCCAGCGGCAACACTGGCATGACTGGTTCTTCCGGAACCGCAATGGGCTCTGGAATGGGCAGCGGCATGGGCACTGATACTCTCACCGGCAGCGGTGCCACTGGCACCTACGGCTCCTCGGGCCGTGATACCTACGGCTCAACTGGTACTGACACCTTGGGCTCATCTGGCACTGGTGCCTATGGTTCAACTGGCACTGATACCTACGGCTCGACTGGCACCCACGGCTCATCCGGCCTGGGCAGCACGGGACACCACACCAAGGACACCACTAGCAGTGCATTCGGCGCTGGTACGGGCAGTGTCGGTGGAAGCTTTGGAACCGCACGCAACACTGGCCCAGCTCCCAACACAGCAGGCCCTCACAAGTCCGACATGATGAACAAGGCCGACCCTCGCGTGGACAGCGACCTTGACAATAGCAAGACCTTCATGGGCGACAAGACCTTTTCCCAGTCGTGAGTGGGGTAGAATTCCCTGCCCCGAGGAAGGCCAATCTATCGACTTGAGAACTAATCAAATGGCTTCCCCAGGGACAGGACGACGGCCAAGGACCCCACGGATGCTGCTCAGGTGCCGCCTTCAGTCTTGCGGAAGCACATTGGCGAGCCCACCATTGAGCATGATAATGCCAATTACGACCGCGTGCGGCGGCACAGCGTCTCTCACCAGGAACAGCATCGTGGATTGTAATAGGCCGCAGGGAACTTTCGTTTGATGGCTCATTGGATATCCAGTCTGTAACATTAAGTGTATTTTTAGCGTCGTCAATGAAATGAAATTGGAACCAAAGGAAAAAGCAAACATGTGAACGCGTAGCTCTCTTTCGTCGTTTAATTCCACAGCTCCAGCGTGCGCGTGACTTGCGGCCGCAGACTCAGTCCAAGCTGCCATGGGTCCCAGGCGGGGAGAGTGCAATATCACGCCTCTCTCAGCCCTTCGTATCCTCGTCTCGTAGCTGTTCAAGACCCCCGTTCCATTGTTGCTCCGCACGAGAATCCGATCAAAAGAGACAGGTCAGATATGCACAGACAACGCTCGGAGCATCGTCCACACGTAATTTGGCACGTCGTACGAGGTGCTGAGCATACAATTGGCAGCGCCATACGCGACCAGAGCCAATCGCGGCTGGAAAGCAATCTGGATTTGGTCATCTATCAGACAGCCACGCCGGTGCGGCTGACTTGAGCGAGGTAGCATTGGAGCAAGGGATGCATCGGAAGCGGGTATATCGGCGAGGAGCTGAAGAGCGCAAGAGCTGTCTCAGTCGGGAGATTTTGGGGGAGATTTGGGAGGGGACGGAAACCGGGTTTCCGGGTGAAAAGCTGGAGGGCAGCGGACGGAGTTTAGGCAGTCGTCTGGTGTGTTGAGATGGTTGGATGGTACGAGGTTGAGATTGGAGATTAAGATTGAGATGACGGTTACAGTACAGCTGAAAGCCGTAATCAATGACTGCAGTGGAGAGATTGAGTGGTGCTACAGTGTACTCGTATGCACTACAGGCAGCAACCTCACTGAGTCCATCAGGTACAGCGTGACATTGAGCGGTACAGCAGCGCCCAGGCCGCCCACAGCACAATTGAACCTCAGGTACATTGTAAACCCCCACTCCATCCCCAAAACACCCCGCCAAGCTCTCAGCACTCAAGATCGGCTTCACTTCATCTCTTCTCCCCATCTTTGTCTCTTCCCCTGCTCGGGCCCGGAGATCGTTTGCAGCCTCCACCAAACTTCATCCGGCCGCAGCCCGAGATTCTCCTTTGCCGGCATCTCCGAAATACGCAAACAAGCAACTTGGCTGTACAGTAGACGACATCTCGCCGCAGTCTTCGGGAATATCTCTGCCGCAAAGCTGTTCGCAATTTCGCCATGATTCCGCCATAGCATATCAGCCCTCACCAAGTTCCAACTTACCATACCTTATCCAAAACATGTCCACTTCAGCCTCGTCCATACCCCAGGCGCTCTGGGCCGCTCAGGTCCCCTTGCACATCACTCACCGGTCCGCGCCCTCTACACCCTTCATCACAAGCGTCCCACGCTTCAGCTACCTGTCGCTTCTGCTGCCGCGCCTGTCGGCCTTCTTCGACGCACCCTGCTCCAGCTTTCACTTTGAGGATGTGCAGCTAAGGAACCTGGCGGTGGGGTTGCTGGCCGACCTGTACGCGCCTAGCCTGCCGTGGCGGCTGGTGGTGGACGATGGGGTTGCATGGGATATTGGCGATACTTTTCTGAATAGCGTCAAGGAGGTGAGCCCTTAACCCCATTCATTCATCCGGTCCCCTTCTTTTCGGTTCCTCCCTCTTCCTTGTCTTGTGTTTGCTCTTTGCTGCAGGTACATGCTGTACTGCCCCTCCTCCCCCCCATGCACACATCCACAGTCCCCCTCACACCGGCTTCTGGAGACAAGACAGGTCATGCTCATGCTGCAGTCAGGCCGACTTTGTTCGCTACGGCAACGCCAATCAGATCATGAAGATGTCCAAGGAACACACCACTCAGCTCTGGAACTCAGTCATTGACAATGACTACGCTGCGTTTTCCAAGATACACACACGCCTGCTCAATGCTCCAGCCACCCTCAAGCACGCCCCCATGCGGGTGTACATCCCCTCAACCCCCCCTGATGCAGGCGGTGATGGTTCCCCCTCTGCTCCCGCAGCCGGTGAAGCTGGATCTTTCAGGATCGTCCAATCCTTGGTCCCTGTCATGACACCAGACCGCAAGCCAAAGCTGCTGGGGCAGGCCCTCAAGGACTTGATGCCCACGCTGTTTCCCAGCAGTCGAGACCCCGTGCTGGCGAGCGTGGTACTTCACGGCGTGTCCGCTCCCTTTGACGCCCCCTTGGGAGAAATGATGAGGGAAGCTGCATATCCCGATGGGTGGCTTTGCTTTGTGGTTGTTGTTTAATTTGTCACTAGGCGGTTGTAGTTACACAGTTTTTGGGAAAGCAATAAGTTATATGGAAGGAGTGGCGTCCGGGATGGGCTAGCGACTTGGATCTTTTTGGTTCTCATGATATAGACAGCACTGAGTTTGATTATTTACATTTATTCATTTCTCTAGCATACGTTTCAACTTTCATATATACGAGTCGGGCAGGTCTAGGTAAACGTAATCTCCTTGCCCATGAGACTTCTATATGCGTTCTCAATAGCCTTCCTCTTCCTTTGCTTTACTTGCTCGTCCACGCCAGCCTCTTCGTCTTCGTCTGCATCTTCTGGACCGGGAAGTTGCGGCATCCATGCTCGTATCTGTCCATCCAAATGGGCACTGTAAATAGCTCCGATCGAGTTGCCACCTCCCATGGCCGGTCCAATTTGTCCATTGCCACCCCCTGTACTACGCCACGCAATGTTTGTAATGCGGTTCCGCCCCATTTCACTGCCTCGAGGGCCCGTAGAGAGCGTTGAACCGGGGCTTCGAAGACGACTGACTACCGTTCCGTCATGGAGGTCCAGTAGGAGGATTTCTTGTTCGTTTGGCCAGACCAGAAGCTGGTGACCCGTGGAGAGGCCTGATGGAGTGACCAGGAAACTTGCAGTTTTAGCGTGCTGGTTCTGCACGATAGACCCAAAGCTGGCAAGCGTGTTTGCTCCTGTATCGGTATCCCAAACTCTGATGCGGCGGTCAAGCCCAGCCGACACAATGTACCTCCCATCATCGGTCCATTGCAGCCCGTTGACAGCGTCGTCGTGGGCCTGGGCTGAGACACGAAAATGCGGCATGCTACCCCAGTCGGGCCCAGACGCCGTGGCGTGCTGGAAACGATGCACAATGCCCAGAGAATCTTCCTGATCGAGCTGTGCTATAACGCCACCGGCACGCCGAATGTCCCATATGCGGGCCTTGCCGTCTGCGTGGCCACTGACGAGAATGTGTTCATGGCGAGGACTCCACGCCGTGCTGAGAACAGGACCGCCGTGAGCAACGAGGGCCTGGACAGCGGATCCCGACTTGAGGTCTACGAGCCGGACATTGGAGTGCTGGGTGGCGCACGAGATGAGCAGGTGACCTGCTATTGGGCTGGAGGCGTGTGAATATACGGTGGCGTTGAGGTCGAACTCGGCAGACAAGGCTGCTCGTGAAGTGGCCCACAGCTTGAGTGTCTTGTCGTAGGAGCTAGAGAGAAAGGCATCTGGGTCGAAGGGGTAGAAGGCCAGATGCGTGATGCCGTGGCTATGGCCGCCGCTTCTGGGACCACCCGTAGACCGAGTGATGGAGCCTACGGGTCGAAAGGTGCGAGTCTCATATGGGCTGGGGCAACTCTCTAGGTCCCAGAGCTTGATAGACCCGTCTGCACCGCCAGACAACAAGATGCGGCCGTCAAACTTCTCAAGGGCAAGACTGCTCACCCCTGCGCCATGAGCACGAAGCCTGTGCGGCCGGTCCTCTAGCTCGGTCTGCTGATCATGGTTGGGCAGGGTAGCCTCGCCGTTGAAGCGGTGTTGAGGTGCTGGTTCGAAGGAACGCAGAAGCTGAGATGCTACGATCTGGGTGAAGTCGCGAGAAGGCAGATCACCCACTTCGCGGGCCAGCAGACGAGACTGCATTCATCTGAGGGCCCTCACCAACCGTCCAGATAGAGTACTGAAATAGATGCTGTCTCCTAGAGTTATACGGCAGCTACGTAGCTAATAGCAGCACTGTTGCGTTGAGAAGCGTGAAGTCGAGATTGAGTCAAAACGCATGGAGCACATGTCACAAGTTGCGTGGGTGATGTCACCAGCTGGGCGGTCAGAGACTAACCCCACATGCCATTAGTGCTAGCTACCGCTCCACGCGCAAACTTTCTTTTGACGATAATCTTTCAATTTTCATCTATCAACGACGCTTCAACTGCCGCCAACAACGGCTGCTCTTTTCTCTTCATTGACCCAGCCGGTCTATTTACAGCTGCCATGGTCTGCTCGATACGGCCTAGTTGTCTTTTTGCGCCACTTTGGAACCCGTGAGTGAAGGACGGGGGGCAAGGGATCGTCCCGACTAGGTGCACATCAAAAAGCACAGGCCAAGGGTGAGGTGAGAAAGGACGGAAAAATCCTTCCACGGAGGACAAAGAAAACCATGGACTCTACAGATGAATACATGCAGTCATCTGCTCCCAGAGCTGCCGACATCGGGGATTCGCCGCTGTTGCCGCAGCCCTCCCGGGGCAGCCGTCGCCAGGGTCAGCGCATGCTGGCTACCGTATACGACGCTGTTGCAGGTAAGCTAAAGGGATCCGAAATGAGCCTCTCCCGGCAGTTTGGAAATCACCGTCACGTGAAATTGACCGTATGCAAGGAAGGGTCACCTATGATGGAGTGTTGCGAGATGAGGGCCAGGACCAGAGGAAATTTCAGCCTGGGATCGTCGACCAACGATCGGCCCGAGACGGCTTCAAGCTTGCTCCAGATGATGTCTTGTTTCGCCGCAAGGACGCTCCGGAACGCTATGCAGAGCATGACATCTACCGCGCGCACGATTGGGAGCTGCCCAACGGCGGGCAGGGCGTCTTGCCACAGAGCGATCTTCTCAAGGCCATCCACGAGTACTCATCCGAGTTTTACGGAGCCCTGAACCGCAACCAACGGGTGCTCGAAAGTGGACGTAATTTGGACGAGCGCAGCATGGATGAGACGGCGCTGTTAGCACTAGGTATCCTGCTAGAGGAGGCAGGGCGAGAGGTTCTAGGTCAACGAGGGCATCTTGTCTTCACTAAGGGCAGCACCCAGGATAATTATGACGACGGCAGCGGTGAGCAGGAGTGGCAAGGAGGCAATGCGGCGCAGGACTCTGGCGGTGATTCAGTGGTGGGCCATGAAGACTCCAGGTCCCGACAGCCGGGGCGGAAACGAAGAAAGCTTGCGAAAGCAGATGACGACTGATTGTAACGTTGGCTCGGTATTGCCATGATGAGATTGTCGCTCTGCAGGGACTCTACCATGGAAAAAAAAAAAAAAAAAAAAAAAAACTTGCTTTTCAGCGCAAATAAGAGCCATCCCTTTATCCGAAGTCGGTTCTCGCTGAGGGGAAGCCAACTGCCAAAGTACCGAAACAAGTCTGTATTTTCGAAGATGCACATGGCCCGTTGCCTCATCCAGTCAGTCAAGCGATGGAAGCGATACTACTGTTGGGTGAAGACCAACGCAGAAAATGACAAATTATGCCCAGAACACCAAAACAGCTCTCACTGCCGATGTGATGAGATTGTGTTCCTCAAAAGGGCCCCAGGGTAAACTGTTGGCTCCATCGCGAGAAGAATCTAGAAAATTACTATATGATGGATCACACTCTACAGAGCACCTCAGTGGCTCGTCTAATAACATTATACACGTATTAATTATAGCTGGACGAATTCATTTGAATAGGCGTACCCAGCGCAACGGGGGCTAAATGATGATGGGCCCTATTTCTTTTACCTTATTGAAATCTACACAATTTGTATCACTAGGACTGACACAGACGTATTATAGCATCCCCATCCAGTGAAGCAGCATTTCGGCAAAATTGTGTCGTATTTGCAATGAGGATCTGTCGCTGGAAATGCCCATCAGGAGTGGTTGTTGGTTGTCCCATGTGATGGAGCCTTGAATGTTACATTATATGTGGAACTAGATTGCCAGCCGAGTACAAATACGGTGTACAGCACGGGTCAGTACCTAAAACGTACCGCTTTGCGAGTCCTCACAAAGACCTGACGAAGCAGTAAAGGGGAAAAGAAGTATGTACAATAATAGAATCACGCGTATTTCTCTTGGTCCAAGAAGCAGGTGGGCAGCTCCGTAATTATCTTGGCGTCTAGCTTCAGGTTACACACTCATATCTGACATGTGCTTGTATATCCCACAGGTAGCTAACAAAAGAGCACCACACGTTTCCCTTTAGTATGGACGTCGTTTTCTTCGGTATTCCAAATACATCTTAGGCATCATCTACCGAGCCCCGGGACGAAGCGCGCAAGATCCAAGTCGAAACCCCCAAAATGTGGACTGACTTTAGGTTGCAACTAACAACCACGGGGGTGCACGCCAGAAGAAAAAAGAAAGAAAGAAAAAAGGCCCCCAAGACTCAACGGGAACCGAAAGGATCTGCTTCAAAGTGCGCATGTGGCTTGCTTTTTTTTTTTTTTTTTCCTTTTTCCTTTTGTCTCTCATGTACATTAGCAAAAGGCATGTGACGTGCCAAATAAACGAGCCGTCCCGTCTTGCCGTCCTTGTCCAGTGGTTTCCCGTGAGGCTGGACTGGCCGGCCCCAAAGCAATGCGGCCGGGCCTCAGGAAAAAAAAAAAAAGCAAATGACGGGATAGAATGCGGCAAATGATCGACATGCGTCACGAGCTTGCGGCCCAATGCGCGTGCCGCGATGATCTCTTTGCCCAAAAAGCAAATAAAGAAATCAAGAATGAAAGAGAAGAGAAAACATGACGCAAAAACCACAACCAACAGCGAGTATACCTAACTTGAGAGAGAGAAAAGAGAGTCGGGGGTCTAAAAGCTCCGTAAACCCCCCTGCACGCACACCCTCGCGAAGAACTGCCCGGTTTGGGTCTGGGGATTGATAACTGTATCTATCTACTCCCTCCGTAGTAGACACACCCAAAGAGAAAAAAATAATGAAGCGATAATGGCTGGCCCGCCTGCCTGCATGCAGACCGAATGCACGATGGCGAGGCTAATCACGCGGCCATGCTTCTTATGTGGGTAAAGCCTTGTCGTTGACCGAGTTCTGGCCTACAGGAACAAGCGCGAGAGTCAGTCACTTCACCGCACTTGGATGTAACACAGAGCCAGAACATCGCGAGTCATGGGTTATCATAGTAGCATCCCAAATACTTGTACTTGTACTTGCTCTTGCAGTTTACAGTTTCAGGACAGAATGAATCGAGATAAGAAGAGGAAAGAAGAAGAGCAAATCGGCAGCCCTAGGCAAAAGTGCTTGATAATACGGCATTCGCCGTCTTTCTCCACACAGCCAAAAGAAGAGCCATATGCCCAAATCCAGCGTCACGCGTGCTCACAGATCTGCGCTCTGAGGTAAATATAGTAGACCGAAACCAACATCATCAAAAATAAGGCGTACGCATAAGAGAAAGAGGGAGAGAAGGAAGAAAAAAAAAAACCATCTCACAACGCCAAAACCAGTCATATCTCGAAAGGGAACGCTATGCCCGGCCAAGGGGACGGATCAGTAACCGTTTCCGTTTTGTTGGTCGCTCGCTGTCAAATCTCACCTCGCATTTGCCCCACGCTCTCTCTCTCTCACTCACTCACCCCCAGAGCAGGCTCGTGAACTTCTCACCTCCAAACAAGACATCATCACAGAACAACTAAAATGGAGTGGCGGGAAAAGAGAAAGAAAAAAGAAAAAGAAAAAAAAAAATCGTCCAATATCAATATACTACATACGTCAAGCGAGAAATACAGTATTCGCTGCAGCCTGATTTCGAAACTCACATCATACCACAACACCAAACTGGTGCCTCTCCGTTATTTATCGGCCAACTTTGTCAAGGTGTGGCAGCCCAAGGATACGCTCGACTAGGGTCGTAGTCCTTCTTAGTCCCAAGCCACTTAGAACCATCAAACTCAACCGTTTTGTCCGTGGATTTCCGTGGGTTTTAACGGGTCGATACATACTACTTCCAAAGGTACCCGAATAGCCGTTTGTGCTGTGCTCGGAACAGTAACTTTGCCAAAACAATAAACCAGCCCATCTTCTTCTCATCTCATTTTTGTTTCGTTTTTCGGTCATGGGGGGTTTTTTTTTTTTTTTTTGTCTTCATCCCTCCCCCTCCCCGGTCCCCTTCTATCCGCTCCACTAAGATAACTTAGGCCGTACTTGTATGCTCCGAAGGAGCGCATATAGCTATCCAATTGCTCCGAACCAGCATCCAGGACCTAGTCCATCCCGAACCCGGTTCTTGTTTTTTGATATCCCAACCTTTTCTCCACACCAAAAGGTTAAGAGTAATTTCGTCTTTCTGGGTATATGACAGGGAAGCCTGAAAGAATCTTCTTTTTCGACATGGATCTTTGACTTCCATTCGCAGTAAAGTCTTCATCGACGAAAGCAGAAATTCGTCACTCTGACATTAAACTCGCTCCAACCAGCCGTCTATTCCGTAGATTGAGCCGTAATTTAACACAAAACAAATCAGACCCGGCAAATTTTGACCAGAGAAAAACAAGGCAAGTGAAGAAAGCCGAGAGCGGTTGGCCCCTACGTAGCCTAGAGACAAAAAAAAAAGATATCGTTCACATCTCTACTCGTACAAGTGCATGTCAGCAAGAGAGCACCTTGTTTCTCCCTTGTACAGACACTGCCCTGTCACATTCGGGTGATTTTGTACTAACCCATCAACCAACAGCATATCTAGGATGTCCCTTGAAAGAAAGCTTACGACTGCGGTGGACAAGGACAGTAAACCTGTTCGGTTTCGGGGTTGGTTTGCCGAGGGAATCACTCCATTTCCTAGATGAAACAAAGAGGCGGCAGAGAGCTGCCTTCGGGTATACTCATACACTCCGAGAGGCGTCGAGGAAATCTCTTTTGTACGCCGTTATGCGTATACTGCTCCATCTTCTACTTCGTACGTACCTCGGTAGTATATCGACAGGTAGGAAGATACCCTCGTCAACTAATCGACAAGCTTTCGAATTCGGGGTTCTACCTTGTTGGATGAACCCTGCCGCCATGGCCCGTTGGATGGTCCAGAATCTTGGCAGAAGATGCATCTTCCGCCCTGCCATAACCACATTCAGCCCTTGGCCGGCGACGGTCCCTTCTTTTCATCAACCTCCTTCTTCTAAGAGGTGTTTTCCGCGCGGAGAGACCGGTGTACACTTGCCGTGCTCGCATACGTAGATCGTCCACGTGCCCTACGGCAGAGATGGAGCCATGCAAAACGTGGGAAGTGCATAGTAGGATCTCGACTTGCTGGTCTCGCACGCTGGGGTCAGATTAGGGTCCTTCCTTCATGATACGTGACACTCGTTCGGTAAGCCAAAGAGGCTGGGGGCACCTAAACTCCGTACGGCAATCCAGCCTTTTAAATTAAAGGCTCCGATTTACATGCCGTGACCGACAGAGGAACCGTACAAGTTTGGTGTACAGTAGAATGGAAGCATCTACCCCAACCTCTGTAAGCGGAACCTGTCACTCGATACGGAGTACAGATCGGCAGCAAACCATTAGCTGTTGGCTGTCACGCCCCGTGTCCATGTTGTCAAACCAAGAGCCAGAGCCCGTGCGCTACACGGCACACCAAAGACGGTCGTGTAGAGGCATGGGGGGACGTCAGTCAATCTGCTGAGACGTTTCACCCTCTCAAAGAGAGCCAGCTGCAGTCGGACGCTATGCTTGTTCTCACCGACCGACAAACTTGGCAATGAGCATCCCACGTTCAAGTCACTCCGTCTCCGGGCTCCCGCGGGCTGCTCCAGCTAGATAAAGTTGAGGTCTTTCACGTGCCGATGTGCGTGTGGCCGTAGCGCGTGGCTCTATTGGATGCCAAAATCAACGTCGTGTCGTCGTCGAAGCATCCATCTACGTCTGATGACGAGGTCGAAGCAGTGTACCCCCATGCCGAGTCGCCAGAAACCCACTGGACAAACTCTATAAGCGACATGGCAAGGGAGGCGGTTCGCCAGATATTGCCATACTGTCAGTACTAACCAATACCGTGGCAGTAGCCGCGAGTGCTGACGATTTCGTATCCGCGGCGCGGTCGTGGCGGCTAGTTCACAATGTAATCATAGAGATAGACAAATAGCCCAGGTAATGTCGTCTTGAGCTAAGCAACCCAATACGATGCTAGGCAAAAGAGCTAGCCCCCACTTACGCAGCGGAAACCTTGATACCAAGCCTCCAAAACGCGGAGAGGAAGAAGGAAGAAACAGAAGAGAGAAGAGAGAAGAGTAACGAGAGGGGGTCCATATGCCTTGTCCATTCTCTTCTCTTTCCCCCTTCGCTTTCGGCAGAATCCTGCTATCAGCTGTCAAATATGACATATGGCGCTTACACGGGCGAAACTGTCACTTTGTAAGGATAAGAGACGCTACCTGACAAGCATGCCGGCAGGGTCGAAGACTTCGTGATGCCGCTAGCGCACCCAGCCGTATTCTGTCGAGATGCAAATTTCAAATTTGAGTCGTTTTGCAGTTGATGGCTTCGACAACAGCTGACATGTCACATTCTCCTAATCTCTGGACCCTAGCATATTTTCCGACAAGCACCAATCCAGTGTGAAGGAGGTGACATTGCGGGAAACCATGACCTCCTCGTTACGACAGAGACAAGAGACTGCAGGATGGGTTCGGATGCGAGGTTCATCCCCCATGAAAGGATTCGGCCGACCCAAGCCCGTGTCCTTGGAGCTGCGCGATTTGACTTGGCGATGTTGCTAACGGCGCCGTCGCCATGCTACCCTGGGCTGAGCAGCCAGCCGATTCGTTTGCTTTGGCCCCCACGAGCTCTTTGGCGATCAACCCCTCGTTCAATTGCTCCTCCTGTTCTCTCGCTTGACCGTTAGGAGAAGCAAAAAGCAGAAGCTAAAAAAGAACGTACCAGCAAACACAAAGAGAGGGGAAAAGAGAAAAAAAAACCTCAACTGTGGGGTGTTGAGGAGGGGGTGTTAGACAACTGCGAAAACCGCCTCTTAGAAAGACATTTTGTCACGCTTGACAGATCGAATCTCGTACTCGATGATGGCTTTGTCTATCTCGAACAAGTTGTGATTGGGGAGGAGTGGGGGGAAGCACAGAGATTAAGTTGACAGAGTGTTATTGGTAGGACCAAATTGAAGTTACCGGCCAAGCGCGGTACAGAGCGGAAAAGTACCGACTTATACCAGTGCTACTGCTATTATGTAATGCTTGATGGCGAGCTACCAGTTGATGGCGTCTTACGCTTGACGTCTACTTGGAATGACCCCATCACGGACCCTTTGACAAGTTTTCCTTTGCTCTTTTTTTTCTGGGTCTCTCATCGTCCATCGAGTGCTAAAATCTAGTCTGAGCCGTTTTCTCCCACTACTCGTAGTCAGCAGGAACGGCACGAGCCTCGTGTTAGCGCTGGATCCAACAGCAACTTTGGTGCCTCTAATGAAGCTGCAGACGTCACAGAGACAATATGGGGATCGGCCCCGGAGCGCCTCGCTGCCGTGGCGCGTCGATTCGATGGCGCCTTAATTGCGAGACAGAAGAAAAAAGGTCGGGTGGTTAATACTTGGCCCCAATGCTAATCTCTCGCTCATTTTAGCCGTATGCACGCCGGCAAGACAGGCTCGTACTGTACAGTACAGTACGGTCCAATGCTGGGCAACTGGGCTAACTCCAAGTGTAATACGGCTCTACGGTACGGGACGATATATGCATGATTACAAACATCGAATGGGCTTGCCAGATTACACCGGCTAATGAGCAAAAAGCTGGCCAACCAGCCACAGATGTTCAGCCCGTGGGGAAGATGGACTCAGACCGGCTGCAGGTCGAGTTGCCATGCAGGAACCTGGACAGCCATTTTTGAATGGACAGCCCTGGTGATAAGATGGCGACCAAAATGCGGTAAAGCAGAACGACCTTGTACCTGGTACGAGCGCCGCTTCGCTTCGTACGAGTGCATTTACATGCATCTTTGTTGCCCGCCACAAAAACATTGAGTCGGTCAGCTCAGCTGCATCTCAGGGCCTCATCTCTGACCTTGCATCGCACAATCTAAACAGCAAGGGAAGGTCCTCCGTGCATACATGCTGCGTACAATACAGTACATCCAAGGACCCAAAAACAAAAAGAGATATACCCGAAGGGATTCATTGTGGGCAACTGAATCATGCAGCAAAATTTTATTTTTTTTCCCGAACCGCCCTGCTGGGTGAGACAAGACGGCCCATGCCAGGCGCAGCAATGAGGAAAAAGGAACAATAAAGAGACAACTGTAACACAAGAATCCTGCGCGCAACCGCACCGAAAAAAACAAAAGCAAGACATTTCTTACAAGTCATCATGCATGAGACCTGTCAAATTCTTGTTGTCCTTTTTCCATCTTTGCTTTTTCTGGGGAGAGATTCAAACAGGCAAGCACAGCGAGCGACAATACTACCTCTCGGCTTTCGAAGAAGCGCATTCAAGGCGCCCTCGGAGTGATCTCCGAAGGGGACGTCCAGAGTCCTGCCTCTCACATGAGCGCCCGGCTCTGCGCGAGATTGGATCGTCGATTATTTTTTATTTTTTATTTTTCTTTTCTTCCTCGGGGCGGACCAGGGGGTGGTCCAAGGGACATGGGGCCAAGTCTCGCTGGTATCCATGCTCGGGAAATGATGCGGTGAGTAAAGTGAGCCGTTGGGTTGTAAGGCCATGTACTCGCACAAAGGGAAATGCGGTGCGCACGGGGTACTGAGTACATGGCACTAGCAGTTCTGCAAAAAAGAAAAGAAGGTGAATTTTGGCACTAAAATCAAGGAAAGTTGAGCGAAGTTGGGGCTAGGGAGTGCAGCTCTGGATTGTGGTCTGCATGTACGAGTACTTGTGTTGCTAGCGGTGTTCACTCACTCCTTCTGAAGGCAAAGGCCGAAAAAAAGAAAAAAAAAAAAGTAACATGACATTGAAAAGACGGCAGCAAGGGGGTACAACGGCCACGCTGCGACATTCCGGGACATTTTGCGGGAGAGTAAGACCTGGAGACGGCTTGGGCTGGGCATCATTTGATCCATCCAGACAGAACTCGGCCAAGTACCTGTCTCTCGTTGGCTACTCCCGCAGATACTTTCATGCCAACCTCCCACCACGCAGCTTAGCCTGTAAGAAGCGAAACTCAATGATGAACCCGGTCCCGTACCTGTACCTGTACCAAGATAGGTACCTTACCAATACTCGTACTCACCTCGTGCGTCTCTGCCCGCGTGCAAAAAAGGGAGCTGGAGGCGGTCAGGTGAAATTCCATCTGCGCCCAAAACTACCTAGGCAGCATTTCGAGCAGTACGAGTATGTATTACTCAAAAATCGCGAGAGAAAAGAATGGGAATATGCTGGAGCTCCGCTGGTTGGTTGCATGTACCAGGTACTGCTGGGCACGGAGCAGCGCTTCGGACGAGGTACTTCGTAAAAAAGGCGTCCGTGCTCCTCAATATCTTGGACGAAACGGCCCCAGGCAGTGATCAGCTGTGGATCTAACAGTTGGAGTAATGGCAGAAGAAAATGGAAGGGAAATGGAAAAAAAAGTATTGAAAGTGAAATGGCCTGGCCCATCAAAGACCCTTGGACAGGCCCAGCCCAGCTACTGTATGTACAAGCTACAGTACGGAGCAATATTTGCCCATCCATTATTTCCCGCCCAGCTGAGCGGGAAGTACCCGACTACGAGTATACTCGTACTTGCAAATGGTGCTAGGCATGAAATTAAGTGAGTGCTCCGTAATGACCTAGCGGGACCCAGATGGGGGAATGAGGAGAGAAAAAATTTTCTGCTTTTATGGAGTTTGCAACTTCATAGCCTGCGTCAAGATAGGTACTAGATAGGTAGAGATGGTCTGGCGGTCAATGCTGTGCTCGTTAGATGTCTCATGGGGGCCCGCATGTATCTCCATGTAGTTCCTCGCACGCAGCAAGAAAGAGGCAAAACCCGCGCGGTGTTAGTAGCGTTTGCCGTCGGAAGACGATCGCCCAGCACGTCAAAGAGGCCATTTGATCAGTTACTCGATTGGTGCTCGCACGGGTTGGTTACAGGTTCTCGTAATCATGTACGTACTCGTACAGTACGTGTACTGGCGGGAGATGAAGTGCGTCCATCACGCGTGTTATGGCCACTAGCACCAAAGCATCCCGGACGACTACGACAAGGCGGCATCTGGTCTCCAGTACTGTATGTAGTGTACAGTGCACCGAGGTAGTATCTCCCATGGTGAAAGGAGGGAAGGGAAGCAAGTCGACACGCACGCAGGGTCCCCGAGTCCCCGCCACGGAAAGGAACAAGACAAGCACCAATCTGGAAACGAAATCGCCATAAGCTGCATCGGGCCCTAGAACAATGCCGACATTCTAAAGTCCACAAATTCGGCGTCTGGTTGGGACGGCGAATGTGATAGGTGATACTGCATTACACCAGCTCAAGGAGCCGCCGACGGGCAGGTCTGATATGACACAAATCACTCCACAGATGAGCTCTGCCAAGGAAAGCATGGACTGTCGATAGTCAGAAGCCCGGGTGTTGGTTTGACTCGAGGCACCTTGGATAGGCCTTCGCTAGCGGCTGTTTGAATATGGCTGCCCAAGTAAGCATGCTAGCTGGCTCGTCGATGACTTGACTGGACTGATGCCTTGTCGAGCTGCTGCTTGCATGAATGTCTTTGTCGTCTGGTCCTTGCCTCTTCCTCTAAGCCAGCACCAGCACTGTCGGCCCGGATTCACTTGATGGAGGGTACCGGCGCAATGGTACCCTTAGGAACTCGCCGACCAGTAGATCGGCTCTGGTGACCTCATCCTGGGAAACCGCTTGATCAATAGGGGCGTCTATTCGGGTCTGGCTGCAACGGCTTTGCCTCTGGAGGTTGCAATGGCGAAAATGGCACGGATATGCCCTGGCCCAGCCCATCGTTGGGATGCGGGATGTAGCTCTATCATGGACCGTAGTGTCATCGACGCCCCCCGGAGCATTTCTCGCAAGGATGCAGGGAGCCCCGACGGACGATTTTGATGAATTTTGCCCAGCACACGACTAGCAAAAGGCCTGCTGTCACCACGAGCCACAGCCTCATCTGCGCAGGGACATACTTGGTATAACACATGCCGCTACATCATTATCGCGCACGATCTTTGTCGTGTGCGAGGTGGTTGCTTGTCGTTGTGGTGCCGGCATTTTATTGGAGCCAGTACACCCATTCCAGCCACCTGGTGTAGGGTCACCAAGTATGCCGATTGGTCTCGTGTTTTACTTCGTCTGCCGCGCCGACTTACCCTGGACGAATCAAAGTTGACGAGTAAGTAAGATGGAAAAAAAAGTTCATACGTTACCGCGAGAAGGAATCTTTCCCCCGCTTCTCAACTACCTATCTAGCGATAGACAGGACGGACAAGGTACAAGGGATATTGAATGTTTGTCGTTGGGAATTTGGAATAATCAATAGGTTGCCTCGCCGTGGTTGCGTCGCATGAGAACTCGTACAGACTGCACTGCACAAGCAAGCCATGACACATGAAAGCTGATGGATGGTGGCGATGGCGGCTTTGCAGCACCAGATTCGCCAGGCCATCTCAGCTACCCAGGCCAGTCCCCCAGGTAAAACCAGGTTACTGGGAACCGAGCCGCATCGGCTAGCACGGACAGCCCGGCAGACACATCCAACATGGTTTATCATAGGCGGTAAAGGCAGCTGGACAAGGGCCTGAAATCGCTCATCGTCATAATTTGTGTACAGTAGCAGCGCTGGCCGACAGTCGTGAGAGGCCAATTTGGGGCTCCAGGTTTGTTTCAGCGTGGGCTCGCCGAGTGGGAGGCGACAAAGAGGCTCAGCCATCCTTCTTACCTATGTGCCGTCTTTTCTTGTTTCTGTTTCTTCTTGTCGTATTGCCTGGGATGTTGACTTGGCTTCATCTTGGCTCTTCTCTAATAATAGAGCTGGATGACGGGGGATTTTCCGCTCCCCTGCCTTTCATATGCTGTGCGGGCCGTTTCACGAAGCTGCATGAACATGACAGCGCGATTCCACTACGGAGTACACGACACTGAGAAGAGAAAAAAAAAAGAAAAAAAGCCCCTGGCCTAGTACAAAGAAGTAGACGCGGCACGGCGGTTGGCTGCGGTGGTGAAGCTAGCAACAACCGCCACGAGTGACAGAAGCTGAAGGACCTGCATTGCTTGAATCAAGCAAAAGAGACTTGGAGGCAAAAAAAAAAAGGAAAAAGAAAAAAAAATTGAACCCCTCACTGACCCCAACTCAAGCCAACGTGTGGTCCGTGTGCGACGGTTGGGTCGAACATTTCGGAGTTTCTGCCCGCCCTGCGTCAACGACTTGCGTCGTCCGCAGATCTTGTGCACACTTCTTAGACAACGGTTGAAGACGACAGAGACAAAATACAGCACCAAAGAAGGGAAATTAATGCCCAATGAACCTAAAATGCCCGGCGTATCCGTCTCACGTGGAATTCCCCTTGCCTATCTGCCGCGCTAGAGACATAGAGGCCGTTTCCCACACACTAAACCAGACTGGCGGGAGTGGCTAAAGCCAATGGGTGAAGGCGCTGCAACGGCTGAAGCTGCAAGTGGCGGCAGTAAAAAACAAAAACAAGAAAAGTTGAGTTCGGGAGGCTACAGTTACGAAAGCCGTAACGGACATGTGTTTGGAAGAAGCGACGGAGCGCAGCTTTGTGGAAAAAAGGCTTTACGGTGTCTAAAGCCGAGCGCAGCGGCCTAGTGCGCCGAGCGTAGATTATAGTGGCTGCATGACCGCGCTACAGGAGCATTTTTCGTTTTGGGTACTCTAGAGGAACCCGGAGTCTGGTCCCGCGCCCCGCCCAGCTGGCAGACGTCGGACCGCGCGCGGAAGTACCATCCGCGTACTTGGTGCTCCCTCCTCGACACGACACGAAACCTGCAAACTCCATGTAACTAAACTACACACATGCTCGTACACATACAGACCACACTGGCAGATTGGATGCTAACAAACGGCGCCGGCTGCCCCACGCCACCACCAGTTTGCTGGACTTGGACTTGTTGCGGCACGGTCCACTCGTCGGGTCCTCAGCTGGGAGAGCTGACTGGCTTTTTCTGGAGCCATCGCGAGGATGAAACCAGGCGGTGGTGACGATGGTGAGGGTTCTAAAGCAACCGTCGAGGCTTCTCCGCCCTCTCCGCCGCTCTAGGGACTGCATCCGGCGCCCGGATATTACTCGTACGTGCCTTAGGGTTGGCTTGACGGAGTGGTGCACTCTAGAAGCTCTGGATACTAGACTAGCCGGTGCACTATTGCTTGCTTGCTTGCTTGCTTGCTGCTTGTTGCTGCTTTCCGTCGGTGTGCTACCAAGACGGTCTCCACGGTGTAAATGGAAGCACCAGAACCAAGGCATTGACACCAGGCAGACGGGATTATTTGTTCTTTACCGGACATTTCAGCATTTGGGGGTTATCGTGCTAACCTCTTTGCATATTGGCTTCGGCTCATTTCGGTGGACATTAGTCAGATATTACCGCTGCGTACGGGGCGGCTAGCGAGATGGGCCAAGAAAGGAACGACAACGAGAGACAAAAGACACAAAAAAAAAAAAAGGATGACGGGAATGATGAGCATAGCAAAGACAGGCAAGCGAGTGGCAGCCGTAAGTGGCATTTGGAGTAGTGGCTGTCTGATACGGTACAATCCAAGCCCCGGGTAGTTTTGCGTTGAAAGGACGCTCGTGGTCGGGGGAGTAGTCCGGACATGCGCAAAGCTCCGGTCCCCAATGTCCAATGTCGTTTACGCTTCTGCCAGTACAAGCAGAGTACATGTATCTTGTACGACAGCGGGAGCCGCTGGGGAGTGGTTGACATGAGCAGGCTGCGTACATGCAAAGTATTCGTCAAATGGAGACGCCTCGCAAATACATGTACCGGCCACTAGTGCGTGCGGAGCAAATTTGGAGCTGCTGTATCACCATCTTTGTTCTGTTCAGGCAGTTGGAGCTCTTTTTTGGAGCGACAATGTACCCAAGTACATGCCGTCATGTCCAATGGTAGGTCCACGCGACTGGCCGAGTCCACCCTCATCCTCCACCATGTGCCGCCTCTTTTTTTTTTTCTTTCAATATTATTTCCTTTTTCCATCCCGTCTGTGCTGTCACTGCTTGGTGTTGTTATTTATTGCTGCTGCTGTTTGCTCCCGCCACTAATGTAGAGTGATAGTAGGTATCAGCCTATCTTGGCATCCATCTAATACACATTGACACCTTCACCCGTGCATACGCATCCATTCTGTCTGTACCTGATGTGTACCCTTTCCCTTCTGCCTTGCCCTGGCCATCTGCCCGCAGCCAGCCATCTCCAAAAAATTGACCACAGACCCTCGTCTCGCAGGTTGTTGTGATCGCTGCCACTCCCCATCCCCAGCCCCTGGTCGCCTCCGAGTTCCTGGGCAAGTGTTCCATTGGGCGCCAACCATGATGCCCCCCGGTAGACTGGGTTGACTGGGTTCACTGGGCGCGCCGTATGTATTACCGCTTCCTGTCTACGGCCATGAGGAAAAAAACACCTAGACAGAACAGACAAGACACAGCGTCCAAGAGCCCGGCAGACAACCGCCAGGGATCCCTTGCTTGGCCTGTATCGCCGACATCATCCCACAGCCTCTGGTGTTCTCGCCGCAGTCCCAAGTTTGAACCCTGTAATGAAAGCGCAGGCAAACCCTGGCGGGCCCCACCGACGCAGCATGTACCTAGTACGACAGCTAATTGCTAGCGTGTACCTGGGAGC